AGTAAGTCCCATTTGTTGATTCTAGTTATTAACTCTTGTGCTATGGGCATCCTATTAACGAATTTGGAGCCCGACCCCACAGTATGTAGATCGTAGCCAACTTTTTCTTCTATCAGACACCATGTATCTGATTTGATATCAAGCTCCTTGATCCATTTTGAGTTAACTTTTGTGCATGGCGAGAGAAAGGGATTCAGTTTCATTTTGTTGCATATGGATTTCCAGTTTTCCCAGCACCATTTGTTGAAGATGCTATCCTTCCTCCATTGCATGCTTTTAGCCCCTTTATCAAATATAAGATAGTTATAATATTGTGGATTGGTTTCTGTGTCCTCTATTCTGTACCATTGGTCCACCCACCTGTTTTGGTACCAGTACCATGCTGTTTTTGTTACTATTGCTCTGTAGTATAGTTTGAAGTCTGGTATCGCTGTACCGCCTGATTCACACTTCCTACTTAGAGTTATTTTTGCTATTCTGGGTCTTTTGTTTTTCCATATGAATTTCATGATTGCTTTATCTATTTCTACAAGAAATGCCGTTGGGATTTTGATTGGCATTGCATTAAACCTATAGAGAATTTTGGTAATATCGCCATTTTGATGATATTAGTTCTGCCTATCCATGAACAGGGAATATTTTTCCATCTTCTAAGATCTTCTTCTATTTCTCTCTTTAGGGTTCTGTAGTTTTCATTGTATAAATCTTTCAACTCTTTTGTTAGGTTGATTCCCAAGTATTTTATTTTTTTTGAAGATATTGTGAATGGAGTGGTTGTCCTCATTTCCATTTCAGAGGATTTGTCGCTGATATACAGGAATGCCTTTGATTTATGCGTGTTGATTTTATATCCTGCCACTTTGCTGAATTCATTTATTAGCTCTAATAGTTTCTTTGTAGACCCTTTTGGGTCTGCTAGGTATAGAATCATGTCATCTGCAAATAGTGATAATTTAAGTTCTTCTTTTCGTATTTTGATGCCTTTAATTTCTTTCGTCTGTCTAATTGCTCTGGCCAGTGTTTCGAGAACTATGTTGAACAGAAGTGGTGAGAGAGGGCATCCCTGTCTTGTTCCAGATTTTAGAGGGAATGCCTTCAATTTTTCTCCGTTTAGAATGATGCTAGCCTGAGGCTTAGCATAGATAGCTTTTACAATATTGAGGTATGTTCCTGTTATCCCTAGTTTTTCTAGAGTTTTGAACATAAAGGGATGCTGTACTTTGTCGAATGCTTTTTCTGCATCTATCGAGATGATCATATGGTTCTTATCTTTAAGTCTATTGATGTGGTGAATAACATTTATTGATTTCCGTATATTGAACCAGCCTTGCATCCCAGAGATGAATCCTACTTGATCATGGTGCACAATTTTTTTGATATGTTTTTGTATATGATTCGCCAGAATTTTATTGAGGATTTTTGCATCTAGATTCATTAGAGATATTGGTCTGTAGTTTTCTTTCTTTGAAGTATCTTTGTCTGGTTTAGGAATCAGGGTGATGTTGGCCTCATAGAATGAATTTGGAAGTTCTCCCTCTTTTTCTCTTTCCTGGAATAGCTTAAAAAGTATTGGTATTAATTCTTCTTTAAAGGTTTTGTAAAACTCTGCTGTATACCCATCCAGTCCTGGGATTTTCTTAGTTGGTAATCTTTTGATGGCTTCTTCTATTTCCTCAATTGATATTGGTCTGTTTAGGTTGTCTATATCCTCCTGACTCAATCTGGGTAGATCATATGACTTAAGAAATTTATCGATGCCTTCATTATCTTCTATTTTATTGGAGTATAAGGATTCAAAATAATTTCTAATTATCTTCTGTATTTCTGAAGTGTCTGTTGTGATATTGCCTTTTTCATCCCATATGCTAGTAATTTGAGTTCTCTCTCTTTTTCTCTTCGTTAGCATGGCTAAGGGTCTGTCAATCTTATTTATTTTTTCAAAGAACCAACTTTTAGTTTTGTCAATTTTTTCAATTGTTTCTTTTGTTTCGATTTCATTAATTTCAGCTCTGATTTTAATTATTTCTTGCCTTCTACTTCTTTTGCTGCTGTTTTGCTCTTCTTTTTCTAGGATTTTAAGATGAAGTGTGAGATCATTTGCTTGTTGGTTTTTCCTTTTTTAAAGGAATGAACTCCAGGCAATGAATTTTCCTCTTAGAACTGCTTTCATTGTGTCCCATAGATTCTGATATGTTGTGTCTGTGTTTTCATTTATCTCTAAGAATTTTTTAATTTCCTCCTTGATGTCTTCTATAACCCATTGACCATTCAGTAACCTATTGTTCATTCTCCAAGTGATGCATGATTTTTCCTTCCTTCTTTTATCATTGATTTCCAGTTTCATTCCATTATGATCAGATAAGATGCATGGTATTATCTCTACTCCTTTATAATGTCTAAGAGTTGCCCTGTGACATACTATATGATCTATTTTTGAGAAGGATCCATGTGCTGCTGAGAAAAAAAAAGTGTAACTGCTTGATGTTGGGTGGTACATTCTATATATGTCAATTAAGTCTAGGTTATTAATTATATTATTGAGTTCTATAGTTTCTTTATTCAACTTTTGTTTGGAAGATCTGTCCAGTGGTGAGAGAGATGTGTTGAAGTCTCCCATAATTATTGTATGGTGATCTATTAGACTCTTGAACTTGAGAAGAGTTTGTTTGATGAACATAGCTGCACCATTGTTTGGAGCATATATATTTATGATTGTTATGTCTTGTTGGTGTATGGTTCCTTTGAGCAGTATGTAGTGTCCCTCTTTATCCCTTTTGATTAACTTTGGCTTGAAATCTATTTTATTTGATATGATATGGACACTCCTGCTTGTTTCCGAAGACCATATGAGTGATATGATTTTTCCAACCTTTCACCTTCAGTCTATGTCTTTTCCTATGAAATGCGTCTCCTGTAGGCAGCATATTGTTGGATCTTTTTTTTATCCACTCTACTAGTCTGTGTCTCTTAATTGGTGAGTTTAAGCCATTAACATTTAGGGTTATTATTGAGATATGGATTGTTCTTCCAGCCATATTTGTTTATTTATTTTACTTAACATGGTTTGTTTTTCCTCTTTGATTATTTTTTCCCTTTACTGTACTACCTCCCACTGTTGGTTTTCATTGTTATTTTCCATTTCCTCTTCCTGTAATGTTTTGCCAAGGATGTTTTGAAGAGATGGTTTTCTAGCTGCAAATTCTTTTAGCTTTGTTTATTATGGAAGGTTTTAATTTCATCTTCCATCCTGAAGCTTAATTTCGCTGGATACACAATTCTTGGTTGGAACCCATTTTCTTTCAGCGTTTGAAATATGTTGTTCCAGGATCTTCTAGCTTTCAGAGTCTGTGTTGAAAGACCAGCTGTTATCCTGATTGGTTTACCCCTAAATGTAATCTGCTTCCTTTATCTTGAAGCTTTTAAAATTCTCTCCTTATTCTGTATGTTGGGAATCTTCATTATAATGTGTCTAGGTGTGGATCTCTTATGATTTTGCACATTCGGCGTCCTGTAGGCTTCTAGGATTTGGGATTCTGTCTCATTCTTCAAGTCTGGGAAGTTTTCTCATATTATTTCGTTGAACAGATTGCTCATTCCTTTGGTTTGGACCTCTATACCTTCCTGTATCCCAATGACTCTTAAGTTTGGTCTCTTTATGTTATCCCATATTTCTTGGATGTTCTGCTCATGGTTTCTTAAGAGTCTTGCTGAGCTGTCTATGCTTTTTTCAAGTTGAAATACTTTGTCTTCTTAGTCTGATGTTCTATCTTCTAAGTGTTCTACTCTGCTGGTAGTATTCTCATTTGAGTTTTTAAGTTGGTTTATTGCTTCCTGCATTTCTAGGATTTCTGTTTGTTTTTTATGACCTCTATCTCCCTGTATAGTTGATCTTTTGCTTCTTGGATTTGTTTATGTAATTCATTGTTGAAGTGATCTTTCATTGTCTGATTTTGCTCTCTAATGTCTTCCTTGAGACTCCAGATCATCTGAAGCATGTAAATCCTGAATTCTTTATCTGACATTCCATCTGCTGCAGCTATTACCTCTTCTAAGGTTGAGTTGACCTGCATTGCTTGTGGTCCTTTCTTTTCTTGTCTTTTTATACTGCTTGTGTTTCTTTCTGCTTGGTGAAACTGTTGTGTTCTTGAATTTCCCCCCTATATATTTATATTGCTCTTGTATAGTTGCAAAGTCTCCCTTGCAGGGGCGGGCGGCAGCTGTGCTCCTCCTCCAATTGGGGTGATCTAAAAACATTCCAGGGCTGGAGTTTTGGCTCAGTGGCAGAGTGCTTCCCTGGCATGTGTGAGGCTGTGGGACCCATCCTCAGCACCACATATACATAAAACAAAATAAAAGATCCATTGACAACTAAAAAAATACTTTAAAAAATTCCAGGTGTGCTTTGGGGAAGTCCCTGTCACCCTGTCCCTTTCCCCAGCTCCAATCCAGATGTTTCAAATGAGACTGACTCCATCTTCATCAATATTGAATATCATAGATCAAAATATACTTTTATTCTACCAACATCGGAGATAAATCCCAGCTAAAGAGACAAAAAATGCATTTTTAATGATTAGAAAGATGAGCTTTTATATTTCCACTGGATTTGACAGAGTGCAAGATGTAAAGCCCCTGCCATCCGCCTGCCACTGTGTGGAAATCGGGACTTCAGGGAATCCTGGCAAAAAGGGCTGGGGAACAAAGAGAAATTGAGTCCTGGTGAGGCCACATGGCCCCCAAATCTCACAAACCTGAACCTTCTTGCCCCTGACTGCTAATAAGGCATTATATTTTCCTTTGTGATTTTGAGTTGACATCTGACATTCTAAAACTGTTAATCAAAAGAGAAAAGAGGCACATTCTAAAACTGTTAATCAAAAGAGAAAAGAGGCTGTGATTTGTTTTTTCATCTCAATTACTTTGATTAATAAGGGAAATTAAGTATTCACACACTTACATCAAAACTGGCAAGGTGTTCAATCTACAATACAGTTGCTTACCTTATACCTCAGTGTGCCCCGCAGCAGCGTGTGGGCAGACGGAATGCCGTAGATCTCAGCGTATCTGGTACTGTCTCTATTGGGATACCCTTCCAGATTCAGTCCCGGGAAATAATCCATGGAAGTGACTGCGTCCAAAAAGGACACCCCTCCTGTGACATTCACGACCTGAGAACATTGAAGAGGTGCAGGTGGGGTTACAGCAGAGCTTGTTCCCCTCTGGGTTCATCTGCATCAACTACCCCAAAGAAACAGAAGTTTAAAAAATAAAATTTTAATGAAACCATCGTAATCAGCATCCCAGAGTCAAGCTGTTTCACTGTTACCATAATTTTATAAATTTTTCAATAAACTTATGAATTATAACACTAAGGCAAAAATAACAGATACTTATTTAAATGTTCAAATCGAAATGGTAATTTTTTTTGTTGTTGTTTTCACTCTCACACCCTCTTGAATGCCATGTCAGGCATGAGTCATACATTCCATTCACACAGCTAGCATTTATTGAGCAGCTACTATGTATGTCCAGGGATCACACAAATTGTGGAGAGAATAAGGACAGTGATGAGTAAGATGTAATCTCTGTCTTCCATCTACTCTTTTTCTCATTGAAAATTAACTATATGTCTATCCAGTACCTGGAACCATGAAGTAGCAACTACAAAGAGCTCACAGCCAGACCAGTACATAAAACTTTGTGTACATGTTAGAGGGCAGGTGAGGTTGTGAGGAGACCTCCCTTCACAACAAAGACAATGCTGAGAGCATACAGTGAAACTCAAATAAGTACTACCCATAATCTTATGGCCGATGAGAAGTTAATCATGGATTCCCAAGCTCTTTGATATCTCACGACATCTTTTACCTGTACCTCTTCCCACACGCACATTCAAAATGCAGTAAAGCTGCATGACCAATGTAATTCTGTAATATGTACACTCAGAAAAATGAGAAATTATATCCCATCTGACTCAAATGTATGATATGTCAAGATCATTGTACTGTCATGTGTAACTAATTAAAACAAATTAAATAAATAAATAAATAAAAGGCAAGTGGAAAAAAAATGCAGTAAAGCTCTTTTGTTTTGTTTTGTTGCTTGGTTTTGTCTTTATTTTAATTGGAGGACTACATTTTCTTTTAGTTTGTGAGGTTTGTGGTTATCTGAGAGATAATGGAAAGAATTCTGGAGTGATAAAATCAGGGCTGAGACTTCGGGTCAGGGATCCTAGTGAGCTGGATTTTGTCCTGGCTGCACAGCGAGCCACCATCTCTGACCACATCTCTAAAACTGTACACTCGACAAGGCACAAAGAGGTTTCCAGGGAGCCTCAGGACGAACTCAAAGGAATTTTCCCAAAGGCAATGCTTTGGCTGCACTTAATTATTCCCATAGTTATTTGCAGATGGGCTCCACATGTGCCTTAACATGAACAATCTCATCTCATCTCAATATGGTGGAAGACCAGGAGGAAAAGGGCTGCCCAGACTGCAGTGTCAGGATGGACAGAATCTCTCTGGTTAAAACGCTGTGCTGCTGTGAGAAATGCCTTCCATTTAATTTTCTTGTAACCCCTTCTGCGATGCACCACTAACATTTCCAGAGAGGCAATTTCTGTACTATTTGTTTAAAATAAATCTTCTGATATGATTCTAAAGTTTTTTAAAAATCAAATAAAGAAGGTAAATGTTGACGCTTAGGGTCTCCACATCCATTTCCCTTCTATAACCTATGGCAATTCCAAAGTTCTGTTTACTTATTTAAAGGTTAGGAAATTTTTAAAAAAGAAAAACTGAATAAAAATGATGAAAGATGAAAGTCCAGCATCTTACCAATGAGAAATAAATCAGCTAGTTCGTAAGTCCATCATGAATTCTGGGGAAGAAAATCAGGAACTGTAAACTGAATGGTATTGATTCATTTAGAGAGACTGACAGTTGGCTAAGCAACCAGATCCAGAAAATTACAGGGTAATCATTACCACTTGTATCAATTCAGAGTTGCATTTCTAGTGACATACCATGGGTTCAATAAACCCTGTCATGTTTAATATTTAAGTAATGACTTGAATGAAGACAGAAAGATGTATCTACTTCACAGAGAGTATGCATTTCATTTCTTTATTCTCTGATGATACTAACATCCAAGACCTACTCTCAGCAGAATCTGGCTCATCTCTCATTGATGTTGCAGGCCACTCTAAGTCCAAATGTTTTACACACACACACACACACACACACACACACAGACACACACACACACACACACACACATCTCCTAGTCATTAAGAATCATTGTCAAATGTTTTATATCAAACATTCAAATAACCACAATCTGCTTCATCACTAAGCAACAAGAAAATTTTTCCCTATGTAATTAGTTTTTAGTTATTTATTTTTCTTTGTTCTTTTTTAGAAATACATGACAGTAGAGTATATTTTGACATGTTTATAACCACAGAGAGTATATCTTATCCTTATAGGTTTTCAGAAAGTCACCTACTTCTACTCTAAAGTCCTGGAAATCCTGACTGACAACTGATGTGATATGAAAATTGCTCAAGTGATACAACGAGGAATTTAACACAGGAAACATAGAGTCATTTATTCCAGGCCCATAGTATTTCAAGTGCCTTGGGTACCTTCTCTTCCATCTAGGCAATAGCATATTTGATAGAGGTAGAAACTGAGGCTCAGAGAGTCACCCATGAGCAAACTTGAAGCCAGGTCTATCCAACTCTAATGCCCATGTGCTTTCTACTTCATGACACGGCCCTCTTAATTGTGCTTATTTCTGAATGAGTATTTTGAAAAGATATTGACACAGTATATCACCTCCGATTGTGCCACCAGTGGAGTATCTGAGGAAAGTATGGATTGCTGTGGGAGAGCCATAATTGTCCTGATTTCCTAAAGGCTACTGAAGTCAGGTGCTGGCAGGCAGGGGAAAGTGGGCTCCTAGAAAACTTAACCTTGAAGCTATGGTTGCAGAGAAAGCAGGTTTTACTTGAAGTATGTGTTTATCTGGGGTAGACTGGGAGAGGAAGCTGAAAGAGACCATGACAAAGCTCTGCCATGTCCTGCCCAAATGTAAGACTGTCTTTCTTCCCAAGGCAGGAAAGCTAAGCACCACCTGTAGAGGAAAAGGAACTAGGAGAAGATGAATCACTGTTTCCAAATAGGTGGAAGGAAATCAGACTTGTTAGAAATCTGATTAGAATTGAGAAATAGTACCAGTGGCTGGAACTTACCACAAGGACATGAGATAATATGCCCTAACTCATTTTCTAATTGCTGGAAAAGTTTGACACTTCAATTTTAAATAGAAGCCAGAGAGGTCACTTGGCTCCCTCGGTAAGATTCTGCGTGTCATTTAAGGCTGGCTCTGTGGTGGAGGTGATGGAAGCAGAGTGGGTGGAGGAACAAGAATACAAGAGAGGTTTTAAGAAGTTTAACAGTCTGGCTCCGGAGACAGACTGGATACACTTGAGTTACTGAGTGACTAATAACAAAGCCCAGAAAAATACAGACAATGGAGTGTTAAGCATCTGACATGTAATTGAATTCAGACAAAGGAGTGAATGGAAGACAGAGTGTCAGGAAAAGCTGTCCGCAAAAAAACTTAAGCAGGACCTTGAAAAAAAAAATGCAAAGAAAGAAAAGCATCATGTTTTCTTTTTCAAATTCCCCACAGTGTCAGGAAAATGTGAAAAAGCACTCCTTTCAAATTCAACAAATATGACTTCTGCTGCCGAGAATAACCTCTTGCTTTTCCTGAGCTCTCATGACCATTAATTTCTTTATTTTGCTGATATCTGCTAAAGACTGATGACATGCCTGTCAACCAGTTGTTAAGCAGATTGCAATCTCTAGGATTTCACTGAGTCTTATTGCGGGAACCCTGCGAAGCTGATATTATTGTCCTCTTTAGACAAGAAGCCCAAAGTCCACCCAGCTCATGGCAGAACAAAACCAGGTCCATGGGTGTCCAATCCCTTGCTCCTTCCACTAGGCATTCTGCTGAGCCTTTCATTGGATCTTCCCTAGCATTGAGATAGCCTCCTGAAAATCAGCATTTTGCACAATTGAAGCAAGAATTTTTCTAGCTAGTCCTAGCATTTGTAAGAAACACAGGCCAATGTCCTTCCAAAATGCAAGAGGTGGAAGGAGCTGCTGAAATGCAACAGGAGGCAGACAGTAAGCAGCACATGAAAGGATGTGTGCACTTGGGAGAACATTGGTCTGAGATTCTGGCCCAAACCATAATGATTCATGGAACTGGAGAACTGGATGAAATTTCAGTGTTTATATCACACATGGAGAGACTGATATGCAATGGACTTAACCATTGCCTAGCCTTTGGTGACACTGTGAAGGAAGCCAGCACTTGGTTTCTTATTCTGAAGCATTCAGTATCTTTCCCACATTCGCCTAAAGTGCCCTGCTTATTTAGTAGGGTTCTAAATGAATCTATAGTCTGCTGATCACACTAGAATGTAGATGGACACTAGAATCAGTTGGGAAGATTTTTTTAAATTCCAAAATTCTGGTGAATCAGAATCTTTAAGGATAGGACCCAGGTATCTGATATGCAGCCAAGTTTATGACCAAGATTTACATCATAGGCATGAAAGACCTGGCTGATGGGCAATGGAAACAATCAATAAGTCCAAACAATTGGGAGCCACATCCCAAATCATGTGATTTAATACTGGCTCAGCCATTTGTGCCTAACTCTCTACAATTGACTTCTCCTTCATGGATTTGCTTCATAAAGGGAAGCGCCCTGCCTGAATGGCACCTTCTTATCCTTCCAGGCTGAGCTCAGCCTTCTCTCCATTGCTTTTCCTTCTTTCTCCACCGACCATTTCACCTAGGTTAGATCAGCTGCCCTCTGTGTATTTCTGTGGCATGTTAGTATACTTTAGAAATGCTTCTTCTTATATTATAGTTGTTTATTCCAGTGTCTATTGTTTCACTGATAGCAAGCAATCTAGGAAAAGGGGAAAGAAAAGGTTTTGGAGTCATTTAGAACTGGCTTTGAGTCCCTGATGATGACCTTGAACATCCTCTCTGAGACAATTTCCTTACATGAATTGGTAAAAATAATACTAAATTAGGAGAGTACTTATGTTCTGTTACACAGCAGCTAGGGATGAAATTGTACCTAGAGCCACCCCCATCCAGTGGTGAGTTCTCTGAGGATGGGCACTGCATTCAGTGTGGCAGCCTTTGGTGCCTCATCCCACAGCCAACAACAGCAGCTACTCAGTAAATGCTGAAATAAATGCAAAGATGACCAGAATGTATGAGTGTAGAGATGAGATGTGAATTTCCAAAAGCAACTTGCAAGAAGGCAAAAAGAGAAGAATGCGCACAGGCTTTGCTGGAAGGTAAGACCACACTAAATGGTACAGGAGATGTATGCTGGGAAGGAAGGGACAGTGGGGGCGGGGGAGGCAGCAGAGCCATTGTTAGAGGACCTCAGCAGCAACTCAGGGAGAGAGAGTTTGGACTTTGTTTGGTAGTCATTGCAGGTTTGTATCTCTAAAGCTTTGAAGGTATTTCTTTACCTTTCCATTGAGCAGATAGGTGGCAGGCTGCATGATATTCATCAAAACGCCCACTGGACTCCAGCTAAATTTGTATCTCAAAGGGTTGTCTGAATGTTCAGGGGCTGGGATCCCACCACAGTAGGAAATGTAAGATTCAATCTGTAAATAAAAACATTAATGGATGAGGGAGAATAAAAAAATAAGTTAGGAAGAATAATGAATTTAAATCATCAGTTGAGGGCAATGATATTCATGGGGTAAATCTGCTGTAAAGTTTTTCTTCTTTTGAAGTATTAAAGCTTTAAATATATGTCCTTAACATCAGACACTACTTGATTAACTAGTTATATTTGATAAACATTAAAAATAAAAGGGATATCTAGAGAGAGTAACTAACATTTTGTTCATTTAAAAATGAACTTCTTATCAATTACTTCTTATCGAATTACTTCTTATCAATTCCAGTTCATATTAAAATTTGCATGTATTTTTATATTCCAAAAATTAAAACAGTTAACATATTCAATAGTACTTTGTTATGTGCAAATATCTCATACTCCAACATAATGATGATATTCCAAAGACCCTTTTCTCACTTTCAAAAGTCAAACTATATTACAGAACCTCCAAAGCAGTCCATAAACCTCCATAAAGAATTTATTCTTTATGAAGCTAAAATATTGTAGTAATGTCCATTTTTTCTAAAAATTAGTTGCTACCCAAGACTCAGACATTGTTTTATATTTTTGACTGATGGCACAAAATTTTATTTGAAATTCCCCGGCAAAGAATGAGCTATAATGCAGCAGCATCATTCGTGACAATTATAGAAAGATTGTGTACACGAGAAACGACCTTTTAATGTCTTTCTAAATGGACTTTGGGATTAAACTAGGCTCACCGTGGCTCCCACTTCTTTGGCCTTATCAATTGTTTCCATTGCCAACATGTGATCCAGCCCAGGGTCCAATCCCAATTCACCAATGACAGTGATTCCAGCATCCTCCACACTGCAAACAGGTGGAAAGAGGAACAACAAAAAGTTGGATATAAAGTGAAAACAAAGCCACAGAGCCACTTAATTTGTTGGAAATGGTTGGAACGCACCTCTTTTCCAGTTCTTTTAGGGCTGGTGTGATGTAGCTTGCAGTGATCATGTTAACTTTGCTTGCGACACATGCCTTGGCCACGATAGGATGCAACACATAAGGCAACAGGCTTAAAAACAGAGGCAGAAAGGAATAAGAAACTCTCTTTTCATTATGGATTGGATCTGGAATGTCCCCCCTAAAGTTGACGTGTTTCAGGCTTGCTCCCCAAATCAGCAATGTACAGGGGTGGGGCTTTGGGGAAGTAATTGGATGGACTCTGACCTCATCAGTGGATTAGTCCATTGATAGCTGAATAGACTGCTGGGAAGTAGTGAAAAATGTAGGCAAGTGGGACACAGTTGGAGGAAGTGGGTACCTGAGAGCATGCCCTGGGGACTATGTCTTGTCCCTTCCCCTACCATCTCTCTGTTTCCTGGCTGTCATGAACTTCCTCTGTCCTGCCCTTTCACCATGATTTTCTGCCTCATCTCAGAGCCAAAGCAATGGACCCAGTCTACTATGGACCAAAATCTCCTGAACCCTGAGCCAAAACAAAATTTTCCCAAAGTTACTTTCCTCAGGTGTTTGTCACTGTTGCAAAAAGCTAACTAACACACACCCCCTTCCGATGCACCTTTATCTGTACGAACATTCAGTCCCATGGCACTTCTCTCAGAAATGACCAAGGACTCCCTGAGGTTCATAGAATAAATTCATCCTGCTGGCACATCTAAAAGCCTCCTTAGTGACCCTCACTTAACCTCCACCTCTTCCCTCAGTCTGTTCATATGTTATATGGAAACAAAGGAGCAATTGTCATTCTTCACTCAAGGTCTAGATGGAAGGACTTCAGTTGATGTTGTTTTGATTTTTGGAAAATGGGATTAGAGCTGACCCCTCTTTTTGAAGGTGATATAATGGGCACTCAGTGGGACATAACTTGAGTCATTTGACTTCAACCCAATTAATCCAAAAGGATTAAAAGTATCAGTTGTAAAAAACACACTCAAAATGCAAATGGATTTTCAAAAAAACTAACCAAATTTGATTACTATTTTATATTAAGTCATTAAAAACTAAAATTTTAAAAATTAAAACCATTAAAATTTAATATATTATTATATTTTTGTTTGTAAAACATTTTTGCCCATTTTAGTTCTTAAACCCCTAACACTGTATTTATATCAAAATAACTTTTCCAACTTAAAAAATAATAAAGTTATTTAGGAATAATACAGAATAATAATGTCTAATGAAATCACCACTATTCAGCATATAAAATTCACCAAATACAAAAAAAGTTAAACAAAAAACAGATTTTACCAAGGCTAACTGCTATTGAAGGCTACTAGTTTGCTTAATTTGAATTTTGAACATTAATAAATTGCTTTTATCCATTATCTTGTCATATTTTGCTTCAGATTTCTTTCGAAGTGTGTTTTATTATGTTATTTTCTTTTTGTTTTCTCAGAAAAATGGCATATTTAAGTATTCATGTGTGATAAGATAAATTATTTTGCTTTACTAAGGTTAGACGACTCAAGTTTGAATCAGAATTATTTATCATAGTCATATCATTACCAGACAAGATATATTTATCTTTAGTTAATTTTTGCTAAATAAAAATTAATTTATATAAAATATGTCTAATATGAGTAAACTTTTAAGTGCCCAAGGTTAGCCTATATTCAAAGATATCAAGAGGTAATGCATAACTTCCCACCTATAATTAGAATCACCTTTCATTCAATCTGTTTTCCAAGTCTACTTTTTAAAATGGACATTACAAAACTTCCTCCAAAGATACAATTTGAATCTGATCTAACTATGGACATTATTAAGCAATCACTATCAGTAAGCAGGTAGTTTTTTTTTTTTTTTCTCCTACCTTGGAAAAATTGTATTCTAAGAATAAATCACTATTCTCATGACTTTGACATTCAAATCTAACACTGACCTCATGTATATCTATCAATCAATGTTAGATCTATAAAGTTCAATCTGCTTTTTTAAGTAGCAATAATCACTATATTGGAAGATATGTTCCCATGGTAAGACTTAAAATGTTTAAAGGAGAATCTCCTTTTCAATTAAGCTTTACAAGTCCAGAAGAAAAAATAGACAAAAACATGAAATATGAATAACTCATGATCCAGGAATTCTACTTCAAGTTTAAAATCATCAGAACGTAGTCTATATGGTCACCAAGAAACAAACACTAAAATGTTTATAGCAGCATAATTCATAAATTCAAAATCCAGAAACAACCTAAATATCTACCAACAGTCAAATAAATAGCAATTGTATATTCATACAAAAGAATTCTACAGAGTCATGAGAATAAATAAACTACAATTCCAGACAATAACAAACGTTTCTCACAATCACAATGTTGAATAAAGGAAGGATTACTGGTTGAACCCAAGTACATCAAGGTTGGAAACAGACAAAACCTAATCTGTATGTTAGAAGCCAAAAGAACATTTACACTAGAGGACAAAGTTGATGAATGGGAAGTGACACAAAGAGTTCCTGGGGTACCACTCCCATTTGTTTCTTGATGTGGATATGTTCATTCCAAAAATTCACTGAGCTACAAGTTTTATGCACCTTACTGGATGCATATTTCAATTGAAAAGAGAACAGAGGAGCAGAGGAGAGAAGGGGAGAAGGAGAAAGACCAAGAGAAAATAAGGGAAGAGGAATAACAACCAAAAAGAAATATAGAACTCATTCTTTCCAAATACCTGATGACAAGATCCTGTGTTGCCACCAAGGAGCCCAACTTTTCTTCTTGTGTACAAATGTTCATGCTAACAGGCTTGATATTATATTTCTTGCTTAATTGTTTAATTTGATTCATCATGTCAGAGCCTATTTCAAGAATTAAAAAGTCCAATTTTTAGATTTATTGCCACTGGACAAAGAGTAACATACAACATCTCCAAAAAATAATTTTAGAAAGAAAATTGTTATCTAAAATTTACATCACAACAGACACTAGTATGGCAATATGTAAATCAATGGATGTGTAACCGATGTGAATCTGCAATCTGTATACGGGGTAAAAATGGGAGTTCATAACCCACTTGAATCAAAGTGTGAAATATGATATACCAAGAACTATGTAATGTTTTGAACAACCAACAATAAAAAAAATAAATAAATAAAATAAAATTTACATCAGTTTTTCTTCTTCCAAAAAAAAAAAAAAAACAAGGGCTTATTTACCTACTGCTATTTCTATGTTTCTGTCTCTTGACAGGTATTCTAACACAGGTTCAGACACGTAGCCAGATCCAAGAACCAACACCTTTTTCTTGGTACTCATTGAAATTGATTGAACACGTTCTCTGTGGGGGGAAAAATAGGTGGGGGGTATCATTTAAAATCTTATGCATTATATATAGCAGAATCTTGCTGTCCCCAAAACAAAGCAAAACCTGGACTATGAGGAAATAATTTCTCCCACACTACTTAAATAAGAACCTGAACAGAAATTCCTTATACCAAGATCTTTCATTTCCATTTTAGATTTTGTAGGATGGAGACAGAAGCCTCACATCACTGAGATGTCCTGTGTGTGTCGACGTCCCATGCAGACACTGGACCACTTCTTGGCTTACTCATAACTCTAAGTTGGCTTTACAGTTTTTCCTTCAAGGGGATATGATTCAGTCGTGCTAAGGGCTTTCCTTTGGGACTTGATTTGAATCCTCACAACAGTGCAAAGAGACAATAATCTGAGATCACTATTATACACATTAGAAGTTGTTTTGCTATGTATCTTAAGGGTCATATGAGAACAGTCAAAATCATAGCTCTAAAATTACAAATGCAATGGCTTTACTGTAGAAACTTGAGGCTAATTCCAGGATGGAGTTTCATTTTCGAACAGTTTGTTCTGTTAGAATTCAAACCTTATTCTGGGAAAAAGCCTTTCTTTCCTACAAACAGTGATGAAGACATCGTTATAAACCCATTAATGCTTTGAATATGGAAGGTACTCATAAAGTGTCTTAAGAGAGAGAGAGAGAAAATTTTTTAATATTTATTTTTTAGGGTTTTTTTTGGTGGACACAACATCTTTTATTTGTATGTGGTGCTGAGAATCGAACCCAGCGCCACACGCATGCCAGGCGAGCACACTATCGCTTGAGCCACATCCCCAGCCCTCATTAAGTGTCTTTTGAATCAAATTCCCAAATATCAACATGAAACCATAGAGCTGGCCTAGTGCCAGAAGCTGTTTTAATCTTTAGGCCAGGATGTCTCTCAAATTATAAACCATGAATCTTTTCATTATTAACAAATGATAAATATAAATATAACATGTCCCTGCCTCTCTTCACTCACAACATATGCATATCACTAATGAGAAAAGATTTCCCTAACTGCTATTCCCATCCCATTTCACCTTCCAAAGAATCACCATTAATTGGTTACTGTATAATCTTTCTATAACATTTTCTAAATTTTGTGTAATTAAAACTTTTTGATGTATAAATATAAAATGTTCAAAATATGTTTTAAAGCACTCATTCCTAGATTCTAACCCTGTTCACTTCTTCAGGATCCCCAAGCCCCTGGTTCCAGGTGAATGATCACTGGGCCAAGTGATGAAAAGAACACAAGAATCAGACAGGATTCAAACTAAGGTAAATTTTCCTTTCAAAATGCAATCTTCATTATCAGTCTCCTAGCACAAGAATTCATTGGGGAAGGTAGAAGGTGAAGTCCTAATAGTTGGAACCAAGGAGACCTGCTACTACATGAAATATGGTACATTGTGAAGATATTATTGTCATTGGTCATATTAGCTATGTGACTGGTGTAAGTAGTGAAAAAGGTAATCAGATAATGAGAATAAAAAGACAGAGGAAGCTGTAGGATACACCACATGCAGTTGCCCCTCTAGGAAATTCTCTGATGGCATTATAGAGCTAGCTTCTTTTTAAAAATAATTAAACACTCTTTTGCCGGAATGCTTCATTGCTTCATTAAATAAAGCAAACCCATGTGCGAAAGACATAACTTTGAAATACTTGATCTGGGCAGATCTTTTTACTCACTTCTTATAGGGAGAACCACTGAGCAAGACATATTTTTGTTTTCTCACTCTAGTTTCTCCTGAGAATTCAGTCACAAGCTATGTTTTTAAATGTGAAGAGACCAGTGGAGCAGATATAAATACAAACTAAGTGTAATCAGCTGGAGCAAATCAGAATATTCCAAAGAAGTGTCAATGTTTTCAGAATCCAAGAAGAAAGAAACAGGAGTCTCAGCTGAATACCTAAGAGAACTATTATCTTAAGTAGATTTGCTAAAACATTATGTGGCACCTTCTTTCAAATGAGAATCCCTAGGGAAAATTACCTGTCACTATTTGCTTTGTTCACTATTTCCCTTAATGTCTTCCTAAGAGCCCACTTTCCAGAACCACACACTAGACAAAAGAAAGTCCCAACCTTCATCTAAAATCCAAATGGAAAACACCACAGTGGAGTTAATATTCTCATTTTCCTTTGAAAAAATGACTGAGGAATCAAAACACACGAAATGCTAGAGGAAGAACAAGGGGCTACTCAAATGACAGCCCTTTTGGACTTTTGCTTATTTAAGTTCAGTCACTTCGCTTGGATGTTCTACATTTACAGAGACGACAGGATCAAAATTAGCAGGCTGTATAAGCCTAAAATTAAGAACTCCCATTGAAGTTTTTAAAAAATACTCATCAAATCCAAGAACAAATGTATAAAACAGGAGAATCTAAACCGTACTTACCTACTCTCTCGAAGTTTCTGGATATATTTGTATTTATCAGTCAATGTACCGTTGGATGTGATCACTGCCTAAATGTATATGACACAAGAAATTTCTTTTAGCATCCAGCTAATTCAGTCCTACAAACATGGGCTGGTGACCAATAGAAAAGAGGCAGAGGGGCAGAAGTCAAAAGTCACCCACACTCTCCTCCTGCTGTCTCCCAAAATTGAGTCAGACAATGACAAAAGTCACATCTCTCAAATTAACATCCCAGCATCCTTCTAGCCTTTCTCCCTTCTTCCTAAATTTCCAGAGAGAGAGAAAGAGGGAGAGAGAATGAATAAAGGACAGAGGGGAGTGAGGATGGTCTTCAGAAAATACATTCATGTAAAGAAATTCTTATAACTTACGTCTCGCACCACAGGAGAAAAATTCTGACTTTCAAGAGGCTGTGATGCATCCGATAATAACTGAAAGAAAAGAGATTCAGGAGAGATAAGTGATACTGAGAAGGTGACTTCTTGGTGTTTGTATCCATACTAAAATATTAGTCAAAAAACTGAAAGAAATTATTAGAGTTTATTGAAGATCACGAAATATAAATACTTAGCAATAGAAATCTTCTGTAAGTAATCAAGTCTGCTCCCAAGAGTGTGCGGTAATTTCAATCCAATTTTAAAACTAAATTTTGACTGCAATCATTGCTTGCTAAGAACACACACAAAAGCTGATCTTTCCCACCTACTTAGATGCATCATATTGAGTAGATTATAAATAACCACAAGCTTTAGACCTCTGATACAGAGATCCTCCATTCCAAAGGTTTAAGCTGATCCTTTGGAAGTAGATAATGGGGTTTGCACTCAGCAAGCCCCCACCCCTACAGTATTAGCTCTATGTGTAGGCATATCGGCATCTTGAAAGTGGTGGAGAGAGTGACTTGAAGAAGTAGAACACAAAAGTCACCCACGCTCTCCTCCCACAGTCTCCCAATAGTGAGTCACACAATGACAAAAGTCACATCTCTCATATTAACATCTGAGCGTTCTTCTAGTCCTCCTCCCTTCTTCCTAGATATCCAGTCTTATATATACTGCCAAGCAATAGAGGGTATATAAGTCAGTGTTATATCTGATTGGCAGGGAAGGCAATTTCTAGAGTTCCTTAACCAAGTGAAAAGGAGAAAATGTACCTAGCAGCAGCAGAGGGTTTACTTACTGTACTAAGACAAATAGAAATTACTTTCATGTATCATATCACAAGACGTACAGGCTATCTATTGGAATGCAGACACTTTTCTAAAAGACAAAAGATGTGTATCTGTAAGCCAAGAGATACTGTGAGAAGCTCACAGAGTCAACAAAACTGGGGTCTTCCCAGTGATTCCTTCTCAGTAACCTCTGCAGGATTCCCTTCTTGGAAAGATTTCTAAGAAGATTCCTCCCAAAGTGACCACAGACCAGAAGATGCTAATAAATAATAATGTGAGGTTCTAATGTCATTTGGCAGATGGTCAATGACTCAACTTGTGCAATTCCCTCTGTTTGCTCTTTTTGTCTCTAATTCCACAGCCTTATCTGGGCCTCACTGTTACCAAGCGAACTGCCTCCTACCTCAACCTCTTCCATCTCTCCCCAGTCTAAAATGCCAGTTTGATTGTCCTATGTCTGTTTAAAATAACCAAGTAGCTGGCTCTCTGCTGCCTTCAATATGAATTCTCTAGCTTCCTATATGGGTACTAGACTCTCTACACCCTCAGGTCTTTTGGGTCTTCTACCCAACACTCATTCCTATTAAACAGCTTGCCCTTGCCTACCTGGAACTAACTCCCTCTCTTCTTCCTCCAAGATATAACTGAAGAACCATCTCTTCTCTGAATCCTTTACCAAAATCTGCCTCCAAGTACATCTTCAAGGTAAGAACTGCACATAGCATCTTACCATGTGTCTGCCACATGATAAGATGGCAAATATTCAACAAATAAATGATTGGATACATGAAATAATAAATTATTTAAAACTAAATAGATTTTTTTTTCCAAACAAAGAACCAAATATTTGGCAAGAAAGATGAACATAGAAGACAACAAAAATCTGCTCAATTACTGCATTTAACTGTCTCCCTTTCTAGAATGTGATCATAACAAAATCCAAGCACAAGGGTCCTAAATCATAGGGTATGTCTTGTCACTTTTACATATAAGACCTTTGATAGCCCATCACTGTTTCCTAAATTAATAGCAAGCTATTCATGTTAGTGTTAAAAAAGTTTTACAAAAGCAAAATTAAAAATAAACATGACTCTTTACAATGTAAAAGTAACACATTTATCTTTACTGAGTCAGACTTGACAACTCCACTCACAGAACCCATCTCTTACGAAAATTCCTACCTTTATTTCATCGCCTTCACATTAAATGTCTCCCACTCAAGGCAATTTAAGTGTCATCTCTTTCCTAAGTTGGTTCAACAAGAAGCTGCCTCTCCCTCCACAACTCCACTAGCATCTTTTTGATGGCGATCACATCCCAGCTTATGGCAGGGTTGTACAGTTGCCTCATCCTCTTCCTGAACCTCATGCTTCTACAGGTCAGAAGCCATATTTTAATCTCTCTCTATAGACAAGCCTTGTTCCAATGAATACCCAAAAAAAATCTACCAAATGTAACTGAAACAAAATTGCCAAATTACTTGCAAAGTGATAGCCTGTATCCTGCAATACAACAGAGCTTGGGTGGACCTTGAGTCAAAAAAAAAAAAAAAAGAGGAGAAAGGAAGGAAAGAAAGGTAACCTAGAGGGAAAGAGGAAAGTGCATATACTCTAAATCTAGTTTCAATGTAGGTATCAGAAAGACTACATAGACAATATACTGATTTTTTTTTTAGTGGCAAGCAGATGCACATATATCCAGACTATGAAATAAAGACATTCACTGTTTTTCACAGAAGGCCAGTGCTTAAAGATAATGCTGAGACAGATGGCCCTAAGATCATCCCTCTGCTACTATTTGGAGAACTATAGGTACATATAATATGAAGAAGCTGATTTAATCATCAGCTACCCAAGTAATATCTCCTGCCTCAATGTAACCCAAAATCTGACATTTTTAAGATTGCTGTACTGCCTAAAATTCTATCAACCACTGGATTTACACAGGTGCAAATATATCATCTTCTTAAATGTGTATTTTCTATCCAGCAATGGTCATTATCTAGTTTCAGACCAATCTCTCTACTGAAAAAAAAATGGGTAAAACATAAAAAGCCTCAAATTTTATGCTCAAAAAGTATTGAAGACTTGATGTACCTTAACTTGGAAAAGAAAGTCCAAAGGGATGAGTCCAACATTTGACATCTTTTGTCTCCTTCAGGCAGTTGCCAATAGAAAAGTAGTGTCTGAAATGCTGAGAGGTTAAGCAGAAGACAGCAGAAAGGCTGAAAAGCTGAGAAGAGATTTTATATAACATTTAACAGTAAAGTAACAAAAACTGGAATTTGAGGTCAGTTGAAGAGAAATCCTAATGAACACAGATTTTCATTTAGGATACTAAAAGACTCTATTCTAAAATAAGTAGTAAATTGAAGAACATTAGTTCTCAAAGGACTGGAGCACAGCTTTGAGTTACTTACACCCCTAACTGAATTGAGGTGATTTTCTCCTAATATAGATATTTGTTCCCTGTCAAAAACAAAGGAAATCTCTAGAGGAAAATCACACCACATCCAGAGCCTCAAATCATCTCTAAAACTTTATATATGCAGTATCTACCATTCAATCAAAAATAAACAGGCATACGAAATGATAAGAACTGACTTTGAAAACCTAGGAAAAGAGCATCACATAAACAGACACAAGAAGTTAATTGAAATTATCAAAAAATAAATTTAAACTGTGATTAGTACCTTCAAAAAACAAAAGTACAAGATAGATAACTTAAATAGAGAATGGATAAATTTTTAAATGATCAAATATAAATTCCCATTAGATTATAAAATAAAATAATTAAAGTTAATAATTCAGTCTGCTAAAGGGAAGATTAATGAATTGGTACACAGGACATCTATATAACTTTCAAAAGTCAGCAATATTTTCTACTGTTAGAAGTCAGGATAGTGGGTACCTTTAGGAAGAAGAGTCCCCCCTTCTTCCCATAGTGCTAGGAGAAGAAGAAGGGGGTTTCTGGGATGCTAATAGTGTTCTACTTTTGACTTATGTAGTATTCCCAGGGGTCTCTTTGTGATAAGTTATCGGGTTGTACTCTTATGTATCACTTATCAGGGATGCTTTACTATTTTATAAGTGTTTACTTAATATAAAATCTTGTATTTATATTTTGTCTTTAATAAAAAAATTGTATTTATTAATACATTTACTGTTATAATAAGTTACATGGGCTAACTCTCAATCATACTTCAGTGCAAATTCATTGAACTGGTTTGTTTTTCTCCTAACATCCATTTGAGATGAACTGTACTGAGTGAATGACAATTTTTACTAAGGACAAACAAGAATAAAATTTTGTGTTCTAAAGGACAAAATAAATAAACATATTTAGAATGTTGAGACATAATTTGTAAATTAACAATGACTTATGACAACTTCTTTGAAGAAGACAATGTTAGAGCAAGTCAAATGAAATGTCAATTCAAGAATTAATAGTCAAAGCCATCCACAAGACACATTGATATTTAATATTTTCCATAACTTAGCCTAATTAGGTAAGAATTGTGCTGAAATCCATAATTTTAGCATCCAAAATTATGACTTACAGCTAAGATTCTCCAACAGCACTTCTGACTATTCTAAAACTCTGCTAGAGCCAAGTTGATTGAATATATTTCTCAGGACCAGAGGGTTTCATTTTAGGGAAAGACTAAGCTCTTGCAAACCACCACTCCTACAGATAACAAAATGAGCTCCGTGCAAAACACAAGCAACAACAGTCTACATTGGGGACTTCAGAGAATGAAGAATAGCCAGCAGTCTGTGGAGAAGTATGAAAACAGCGAGGAAGACCAGAGCAACCATGGAGTTGCCCTTTCTATGGGCATTGCTTTAAGGAAAAGTCATGCAGCATGAGTGGGTGAAAACATGTTGAAAATGCACCAACTTTCTGACTTAAAGACACAGTGATGGGGCCCATAGCAAGCCTCCAGTGTGAGAGGATAAATGCCAAGAAAGGTAGATTCGGAAAAAGGACCTCCCAACTTCTAGGTAAACTACTCTGCGTCTCTAAGGACTCCCACACTGAGCAAGGAAAGGCCAGATTATAGGCTTGCCAGGTAAAAATGAAAGAGCTGAAGGTTTATTTGAACTACTCCTTTCCACAGGTGAGAGAATTTTTAGCTAGCCTCTAACCAAGATAATTGTCTACTTTAGAAAATTAATACTTTTCATAAAATTATAACAATCCAGAATCTTCACAGCAAAATATTCATGTCATTCAGGACACAAGCCCAAATCATTCAATATATGACAAGTAGAAAACCATGATCCATTCTCAAAGGAAGAACAAATCAATAAAGTTTAATCCCAAGATCACTCTGAATGTTGCAAAGACAAACAAGAATAAAATTTTGTGTTCTAAAGGACATAAATAAATATATATATTTTAATTTTGTGTTCTAAAGGACATAAATAAATAAACATATTTAGAATGTTGAGACATAATTTGTAAATTGACAATGACTTATAACAACATTATAAGTGCCCCCTTAGCCATGGTTTTACTTTCCAAGGTTTCAACGACCCTTAGTCAATCACAGCCCGAAAATATTAAATAGAAAATTCCTGAAATAAAAAAATGCATACATTTTAAATTGTATACCATTCTGGGTACCATGATATAATTTTACATAGTCCTTCCTCCTTCCACCAGGCATGGGAATCATCCCATTTTCTACTGTATCCACTGTGAATGTTACCCACTCCAAAGTCACTTTGTCTTGGTTATCAGATCATTTGAGGTGGTATTGCATTGCTTATGTTCAAGTAATCATTATTATATAGTAATTCATTGCTATGTGACAGTACCTAGGCAATTCACCTCACGTCATCTCATCCCATGGGCATTGTATCATCTCACATCAGGACAAGAAGAAGGCTATATACAGTGCAATAAGAAATTTTGAGAGACAGCACACTGACATAACTTTATTACAGTATATTTTTATAATTATTCTATTACATTATTAGTTATTATTATTAATTTCTTACTGTGTCTGATTTAGAAATTAAACTTTATCAGAGTTGGATGTGGTAGTGCACACCAACTATAACCCCAGTTACTCAGGAGGCTAAGGTAAGTCTAGCCTAGAAAAAATAGCAAGTACCAATCTCAAAACAACAACAACAAAAAACCCTTTATCATAGGAACACATCTATAGCTAAATGCATAGAACATAACAGAAATATCAATGGTTTCAGGTATCCACTCAGGGTCTTAGAGTATTTCTCCTGCAGCTAAGGAAAATAAAAATAAAGACTATAAAGTGGCTTTTATAACTATGCTCCATATAATAAACAAAAATGCACTCACAAAATATTAAAAGAAATTCTTAACAAGGAAATCAAAAACTGCCAAAACATGGCAATTCTAGAACTGAAAATACAATATTCAAATTTTCTTTTAAATCACAGGAGGGGCTTGTTAGCAGAATACAGAATATGAAGACATTTTCAGATAAAAGATAAAAGAACCTGTTACCAGCAAGTCTGTACTTTAAAAAGTGCTAAATTAAGAAGTTCAGTCTGCAAGAAAATCAGGCTAAAAGGAAATTATTAGAAAGCATCAAAAATAGTAAGCATCTGGGGAAATTTACTATTTTTTTCTATACACATACTATACAGGCACTGAGACATTTACAATTTCAGAATTTTAGGACTGCAGAGACATTAAGGTGATGTATTACCAGCACCTCATATTTTCAGAGGAAATGTCTGAGGCTCAGAAAGGTAGTGCTTAAGGCCATAAAAGCAAGCAGATGTCTCCAAGACAACCTGGCATATAGACTCTCCTTATGCTACTTTAATCCCTCAACACCAGCTCCAAGACACATTGCAGGTCCAGCGCCCATCAGGAACTCTTCACAGTCTCAACTTCTCTTTGCTTCTGTTTCTTAATCTGTAAATGGGCTTTAAAATGGCACCTTCCTGACAAGGTTCTCATGAGCGTTTAAAGTCAAAACAGAACCAGTTCTTTGAACACTGCCTTGAACACAGGAGATGCAATATTGCACCCAACCATGTTAACACTGCCTGTCTGCATTTTCCAAAGCCTGCTACTTCTTCCTGCTGGCTTGTTTCAAGAGAAGAAACAAAGGGTCAAAGTGGAATACTGTTTATCTGTGCTCCATGAAGTTTAAATATGCTGTGATTAAAATTTTTTCAACTAAAAGTGTTTGTAAATTTTCCTGTGATTTCTTCTTAACCCATGAGTTGTTCAAAGACGGCAATGATAGACTGGAGGTTTGACTTGCTCTGGCTCCACTGACTATGGCCCCATCTTGGCCTGAGAACACCTGAGTGAGAATGTGAGAACAGCAAGAGCCACCATTTCCAGCTCTGGAATCCTTACCACAGGCAGGCAGCCATTAGCAAGAAAAGTAAAGTGCAGCTTTACTTTTGTCCAAGCCCAAGATAAATGCCAAAGGAAAAAAAAAATGGAATTTAGAAAACACAGTATTTCAGTAGTCCATCACTGATCACATAAGAAAGTTCAAGATCGCCACAAAAGCTGTCACTTTACTAAGCATTATTGCCTAAGGACCCATAAAATTTTCTGTATTCTTTATTTTTCAAGTCTGTTAATCATAGCACAATTCACACCCCAATTTGAACTGACCTAGACAGCAAGAATTTTAAAATAAAGCAAGGCTTGCTGGGCATGGTGGTGCATGCAGTAATTCCAGCTACTCTGGAAGACGAGGCAAGAGGATCACAAACTTGAGACCAGTCTGAGCAACTTAGCAAGACCCTGTCTGAAAATTAAAAAAGTAAAAAGGACTGGAGATACTGTCCAGTGGTAGAGTACCCCTGGATTTAATCCCCAATACTGAAAAAATAATAATAACAAATCAAGTTTTATAACAAACTGTATAACGAGAGACTAATGTAATTTGTAATTAAGCTTGAAGGCAATGATATACTTACATTCCCTGTGAACCAAGTAAGCAGAATATGTAAAATAAAAGTGTATCAGGGGGATGGGCTGGCATTTCATTTTACAACAGATTTCTTAGACACAGAAGACCAGAACATTCATGAGTTTGCTCCATAATTTTATTTAAAGTCAGGGTTGTTGCTGAGGCTACCAGTCTGCTTACCATTTCTTCAACATAAGGGTAAAGCATGTCTCCAAAGTATTCTGTAGCTTCAATTGGAAGTTGTGCTGGCAAATTGTCAATAGAACACATCAGAATCCCAGAGCCTTCAACACTAGGAAAAGCAATATGCTTTATTCAGATGTACAAAACATTATTAGTAAGCTCTAACTTCTCCTGATGTCTCCTCCACTATATTTGCTTCATTAGTTTTCATAATTCTGTACAAAATTATATAATAATATAAACAAAACTTTTTTTTTATTTAGCAACCCATCTCCCACTTAAATATAGTATATGTGTATTGAAGTATTCAAATTTGCATGTGGTTTTTCTATCAAAAATTTTAACATGATTAAGCATCTCTTTCCAAATACATATGCCTTTATAAAGAAGTAAAACTGAGTACTTCAGACTCATATATCAAGGTAAGGAAGTGATGTATTATTATGCATCATTCACCATCTAACTGCTTTAACAAACTTACCTATCATGAATAATATGCTGGTCAGCGTCATACATGCAAAAAGGATGCTCTATTGTAGTACACTCCGTCATGAAATCTATAGATCCTCCTGTGTCCGCTGAAATGTCACATATTGCCACAAGTCTGAAATCAATATCAGTACTTAGATAAGAGGATGGAATTCTGAAGCTTCCAACAAGACTAACAATGAATTACAATGAAAGATGCTTAGAACAATGTTCCATGTGGGTGCCAAATATTTTCCAGGCACTTGGGCTCTTTTTCTTACAGTTCAGTCTTTAAGACACTGTGAGGATCTGAGATATAAGAATCATCCCAGTATACAGTTTAGTCTTTACAAGAAAAAAAATAAAGGAATGGAAGGAGAGAAGAATAAAGGGAAGGAGTGAAAAACTAAATAAAATTGGAAAATACCTTCCCTAGAAAAATCATTGACAGCAGACTGGTTATAGTTAAACCAGTTAATCATCTCTAAATAACTGGTAAAGTTTCAATTGCACTATTTCCACTTACTTAGTGCAATGGGCCCTCTACATCATGAATTCCACATCTGTAAATCCAAACAATACTCAAAAAAATAATTGAAAAGAAAATTATACCTCTGCTCATCATGTACAAATATCTTTCCTTGTCATTATTCACCAAACAATTCAGCAAACAATGATATGGTTCAGTCTTTAAGACACTGTGCTATTACATAGCATTTTAATTGTATTAGGTAGTATAAGTGATCTAGAGATGATTTAAGTGTACAGGAGATATGCATAGGTTATATGCAAGCATTCACTATTTATATAAGAGACTTGAGTGTCTGCAGATAGTGGTTTTCACAGAGTTCTAGAAAAAAATTCTCTCTAGATACAAATGACTATACTATGTGATTTTACATGTAATTACATGGAAATCTAGGATTGTGAACAAAAGTTTCAACCCAATATTTGAAAGCCTTTAGAGGTTGGTCGTAATTTTTCTATTCAATCTTTAATTACCACATGCCTACATAAATACTATGGATAGACTGTCCCACTCAGTATCTTAAATTATACATTAGCTCCATATTTACCAAGCTTCAATTGGAAGTTGTGCTGGCAAATTGTCAATAGAACATATCATTACTTGAAATTCTCCTTTTTCTCATTTCTCCCCAGCAAGGCTTTGCTGGGCCCAGTGTGTTAGCCACAAGACAGGTACTGTTAGGGACACTATGCTTACAAGGGCCTGGAGGGCTGCTGCCCCTTTAAATGACTGTTAACACGACTTCAAAGTTGTTTTTTATTTTTTTGTTTGCTTCAGATAAAATCCTTCAGACAAAATTCCAAGGAACCAGCCAAAATTGCCAAATCATGCTGACCCATGCATTTTAGGTGACCTAAACTTTGTTCGTTTTAATATTAGCTTCTCTGCCCAGAGGCATTCCCATTATCTTTTGAACATGTCATGTAGGAAGAAGCATGGCTTCAAACTGAGTATGCTTCTACATATGATGATGACAACTCTTTCCTATATGAATATGCATGAATTTCAAAAAAAAATGTCTCCTGCTTTCTTCGCTCAGAGAATTATTCCCAATGTTCTCCTTACTAACTGCAGGTAAGAAACTTTTCTTCACTCTCTATCTCCTGGTTGTGCTTGTGGGCTTTGCACTCATCAAAGGGAAAACCCTTGTGTTTGGTTACTAGTGCTCCCACTTTCTTTAAACACCCCTGATATTGTTGCTCCTACCATTCCCTAGCCATTTGCCTGATATCAGCTGCATACCTGAGAGCAGCAAATGTTGTTTTACTCTTATCTATCCCTTAGTTTAGCAGAGTGCTAACAGACAAGTTGTTTGACAAATATTGGTTGATTGATTGATTCGTTCAACATTTAATAATTATTTGAATGCCTATTCTATATCAGGCAATGTACCCAGTGCTTGTGGCCATGATAAATGATACCTATCTTTAAGGAAATGAAGTTCTAATAGGAAAAAGAAAATTTTAAACACAAGAAAATAAATAATCATGAATTTAGGAGGGAAAAGGAAGAAAAAATGAGAGAGATGGGAATGGGATGCAAGAGAAGACTTCTGAGGAGGTTCCTCAAGATCCCTATGGAATTGCAGGAGTCAGAAGAAAGGTTTAAGGAGGGAGGGTTAACTGTGCCATATGTTGCTAAGAGGGCAAGTCAGTCATAAACAACCAAGTTCTCTGATATGTAGGAACATTATAAGTTTGACTTCCCTAACAATGTATGCTGCTACTAAAAACTTCCATTAGTGCTGAAATAAAATTCTTACCTGTGAGGTAAGGCAGGGCAGCCTTCAACAGCAACAACTGAGGACTTGACTGGAGCCAAGAGACTTTGAGCATCGTGGCGGGTTAATAGGCGAGGAGTGTTTTGTTCCCAGTAGATTCCATTAATTAAACAAGTTGTATAAGGTGCAATCTGTAAAGTTCACATTCAACAAAACAGGAGATAGCCTATTTTAATACCTTGTGCTACCTATCAATAAAATCCCACAGAAACAATATTACTTCTAATGAATATAGCTACCTTTTGAAGCAAAGATAAAAATACCTTCCCAGATTTCAAAATATAATTACCCTCATTAGGGAAGAAAATATGAACATAATAATTACTCTAATAGGGTTGGGGTTGTGGCTCAGTGGTACAGCCTGGCATGCATGAGGCACTGGGTTCAAACCCAGCACCACATAAAATAAACTAAATAAACAAAATAAAGGTATTGTGTTCATCTACAACTAAAAATATTTTTTAAATAAATATACTAATGTTTTTGTCTATTGCATAGCAAAGAAGAGAGAATCAAATAACCTAAGATACCAGTAAGGTGTGACCTAAATCATACTACTTCAACTTTACTGAGATGTTTTTCTTACCTGCTAGATGGGGATAATGTACACCCTATTCCTCAAAAGAATGCTATGATGATCAAATCAGATAACTTCTGGAAACTCCATTGAGAAATGTACTGCATAAACATGGTAACCAAGTCACTACCAGTCTCATATGACATCCAATCACCATACCTCCATGACAGGGGATATGAATGGGGGGAAATTTACTAGATTCAAAATTTTTCAGCTCAAAATTAGTTTCATACATTTTTGCATGAAACTTAAGCATCTCAATCAGAAGGTAAACAGATATAACATCAGTCCATGCTGTACTACTTAAATTTCATACCAGAATCAAACATTGTAAATTATGTAGAGCATTCTTTTCACAATATACATATACATTTTAGTGTGCTTAATTTTTCATTTGTTAGTTTATTTTGAAAAGGATTTTTGCATGACTAATGACTATAGAACACACAAATAAATTTTATTTCTTAAGCTAGGTGTGGTAGTGCATGCCTTTAATTCCAGCAACTCGGGAGGCTGAGGCAGGAAGATTGCAAGTTCAAGGCCAATCTCTGCAACTGAGTGAGGCTCTGTCTCAAAATAAAAAAGAGTTTGGGATGTGACTCAGTGGTTAAGCACTTCTGGGTTCAATCCCCATACCCAAAATGAATAGATAAATAAATAAATAGTGGTTTTTAGAAGATGAGAAAAGTGTGTCCCATCAGAAGGACTTGTTGTGTAAGTAGCTCTCTTGTACAATGATTATGTAGCCAAACTATCTCCCCCTGACCCCTTGTAAGCATCACGTGCATTTTAAGATGACTGGCTACTATGGTTTGGATGTAGAGTGTCCCTGAAGTTAAAAGCTTATTCTTAGCCCATGACACTAGTTGGAGGGGAATAGAACTTTTTAGAGGTAGAGCCTGGTCTTCAGGTCCCTGGGACTGTGCCCTCAAAGGGAATATGAAGAATTTGGTGTCTTCTGCCTTCTCTTTCCCTCTTTCTTTTCCAATTCGAGATGTTAGTGCTCACTCTGACATGTGTTTCTACCATTGTCTCCTGTCATTTGTCCTCACCTGAAGCCAAAGCAATTAGGGTTGCCCTATCTTGGGCTTAAACCATCAAAACTGTGAGCTAAATAAATCTTTCCTCTTTTAAAGTAAGTCGACTCAAGTATTTTTTGTAGTAATACAAAGCTAACTAATACCCCCCCCCAAAAAAAAGAAAGACAGAAAGAACAAAGGATACTGTGAGTAGTAAGTGTTATTATAACTATATCTAGATATATTTAGGAAGCTCTGGGACTGATTGACTGGCAGAGGTTGAAAGAGTTTGGAGGAGCAAGCTAGAAAAAGTCTAGAATGCTCTCCAAGTGGAACATTATGGGGCCATGGTGGCTTCCACTGAGATTTCAAAGGAAAGCCTGGAAACTAGACAAAAGTTTCATGTAGGGCTGAAGTCTCTGTGGGAACTCTTGATAAGATGATGCTTATTGGAATTGTGGGAATGGAGTCAAAGAGAGGATCCCAGAAGGATAGAGCAACCCAAAGTGTGCAACAGCTGCTAGGGAAAGCTTCGAGCAGCATGCCATATAAGCCATGGAGAGCTGCAGACATCAGTGTGCAGTCCATGAATGCAGCCATGTGGGGCAACAAAGCCAACTGGGTAGAGCTGCCCAAGGCCTTAGGGGCCCAACTCAGGCCCCAGTGTGCCTGCCATGCTGGACTGGAGGTTTAGGATTTAATATCTGCCTGCTGGATTTCACTTACTTTGGGTGAATTATCCCTTTTCACTTGCCTGTTCCCTGCTTTTGGAATAGAAGTTATACTCCATGCCTGTCCTGCCATTTTATCTTGGAAATATATAGCTGGAGGAGTTTGCCTTTTGTTCCAGATGAGCCTTGGGAATCTCTGAATTAATGCTGGCTGACTTAAGCCTCTGGGACCATTGGGGATGGAATGCTTTATGTTGAATGTGAGGACATGAGTTTGAGCAGACCAAAGATAAAATGCTATGGTTTAAACATGGTTTGTTCCTCTGAACTCATGCAGAAGTGTGACCTCCAATGTTTTATATTAATGGTTTTTAGAGAGTGGAAACTGAATCCATCCATGGTGTTTATAAGTGGAGCCTTTAGCAATTGAGTAGATTGGATTAGGCCAACAGGGTGGAGCCCCCCAAATTAATTCCTGGTGGTATTATAGGAGAGGGAAAGCGGCTGCATGGAGAGTGGGACACATGCTCTCCCACCACAACATGATACAGCCAAGGGGGACCACCACCAGAATGTAAGCCATGCTGTTTGGTCTGCCAGACTACAAATCTGTGCTTAATAAGCCACTCTTCTTTATAAAATTACTCTGTCCTTGGTGTTTTTTAAATAGCAATGGAAAGTTAATACACCAGCTGAGTTTATGATTGCAATTTGTGGCCAGAGAAAGGATAAACCCATGTTAGATCAAACCTCATAGACATTGTACTTTGCCAAAAGCACTAACTAATCCAGGATTATACAGAGTCAACAATCCATAGAAAATAGTTTAGAGCTTTTGGGCACAGGCAGACCCAATGTAGAAACAGATATCAAACCAAAGAACATACCCACAGAAACCCCAAAACCACTAAGGAAGGGCCACTCCAAATACCAGTAAAAGCCAGCAACTCCTAAGACCAACTCATGATTCACAAAGGACTCCCAGCTAGCGATATGAAGAAGTGAAAACCCATGTACATGTTTATAATTTCTCTCCTTGAAAAGAGCCTAACTACAGTGCACCATAAGCAGTGACTCCCAAGCTGAATGTGATACTCACATCAGTATTAAAACGACTTATGTACCGCTCAGGATGTTTGTCATACTCTACAGGGTCATACACACCATCTGTTTTCCTGACAAGATGATGATGTCGACTTAACACCGTCCCATACACTTTCCTGAGGTCTTGCAGAGGAAAAAGAAATTAACAAACTGGGTGACAAATGATAATGATGCATGGTGATAAAAACACTATAACACAGATACTGTAAAATGGTACAGACAGTCTTCCCCCTCCCCTTACCTCCAGTTTGGGAAACTTCCTTTAATTCATGGGGCTCCACATATTCACAGGGCAGTTCATTAAAGATTTCTTGGGCTCCCTGTAAAAAATGTTTCAAGTAAACATCTAAAAATCAATTTTAAAAAAGAGCCAAAGCAGTTTCCGGTAAAGATTCCAATTGTTTTCCCCACAATTTTATAACTGAACTTGCCTGGCCCTGCAACCAGAGCTGCAGCATAGAAGTACAGATGAACTTCTTGCACACAGCCTGCAAACCAGCTTTATTCCAGTTTTTAAAAGCATGCATTAGAAGGGGCTTTAGACTTTTTTTTTCACTAAAGTTACTCAGAAAAGCAACAATAGTGTTTAGAAATATAGATACAATACAATATATCTATTTCTTTTTTATTCATTGCAGAAGAAAAAATTAAATGGCTACCTCACAATATAATAGTAGCAGAGATGTCCTCTTCATAAGATATTTTCATTAAAGGTCTATTTTTCAATCATAAGTTTCTGAGGGAGATTACAAATGTATTCTAAAACCACCTCAAGAGGAAGTATTAAATACTTTCTTGAATTACTCTAATATCTTACTGGCAAAACTCCAAGTAGTCTTGAAAAATGTATATACTGGAGTTACTTCCAAACTTTTGGACATGTCAGTGATGAAGGAAAACTAAATCACCCTAAGAACAATGTTACATACTTCACAATTAGTATCTCAAGAAAGACAGAAACAGAGAAAGGAAGAAAGGGAGGGGGAAATGGAGGAGGAGAAAGAAAGGAGAGAAAGAGAAATAAAGAGTATTTCAAACCTCTGATAGAGCAGAATTCACCAAAAGCAAAGAAAATGTTTGGACCATTATTGTTCTTTGCTATAAGAAAAATTTGTAGTTAATTAAAATACTGAAGATAGAATGTCCATTCTCTATTGGAAACAGGCACAGAATGGCCCAACTTCATGTCTCCAATTGCTTTACAGAAGGAAGACACATGAAATTTACCTTGGATACATTACCAGTCCCTGTGAATACAAATGTTAAGGGCCCTATCGACTTTGGCATTAAACCCAGAGATATTTCATAGCCAGCATCACGGACAGCTTGCACAGCCTGGCTGCTATTCCTGTAGTTATGAGCCATGCCAAGATGCTGAAAGCAAGCACACACGATTCAAGTTAGTCTAGTAGCTGACATATTTTTCTATTCTTAAAGTGTTATGTATGCTTTCAAAAAAAAAATAAACAAAAGAAGTATCTCTCACCATAAAAGGTGTGTGATGTCCCAAAGCAAGGAGCCTTAAACCCATTCCATGTAAAATGTTGATCATCCCTATTGCAGAGTCAGACCAACAGAAAGACAATTAATGAGTGATGTTGAATATCAATGTACAAAATAAATTCTACTCTTAGGCATTAATCAAGAGAAAGGACAAATTTTTCTCTTTGCCCATTTGTCCATGTGCTCAGTGCCTGGGGAAGCATAAACATAGTAGCTCAGATTCAGAAGGGGCCTCAGTAGATCTTATCCATTTCTTCTGCTTTCTGCCATCCAATGTCCTAACCCAGTTGCATCATTTATCCCTTTTACTGTTGATCCTGGTAAAGTGGAGTATCCTCTTCTCACCTAGAGTCAATCTCTCCTTGACGAAAGATCCCATCCCTTCCCTTCTTCCCAGGGAATTTACTCTTGAACCACTCCCTTATCTTGAACCACTACCTATTCCTCTCTACCAGTTCATTCTTTTTTTTTTTTAATTTATTCTTTTTACTTATATATAACACCAGGATATGCCCTGAAATAATCATAAAAGCATGGAACCCAACACACTCCAATTCAGTCCCTAGTGTTTCCCCCACCTTATCCTTAAGCACCCTCCCTCAAACCCACCATCCCTCTTCAAACCATTTACAGTTTACTTTTTTGTTGTTGTTATCAAATTCATGTCCTGTGGACACACTCAATGCCAGGACCCACCGTGCTGTGTCCTTGCATGCTCATAAGAAAGTTCGATCATATTCGATCCATTCTTCTTCCCTTTTCCTGTCCCTTCTTCCTCCTCCTCAATCCCCTTTGTCTACTCCACTAATCTTTCCTCTATTTTGATGAATTCCCTCTCTACTGGTTCATTCTTATCAACATGTAAACATGCTCCCATCTCATACCAAAATCAAAGTTGTCATTGACCCTAGGGCTCCCACCAGCTGTTTAATAACCTAAATCACTAAATTTGGTAGGCACTTTTCAGATCTCTCAACTTCCTTGCCAGAAGTATTTGGCATTGTAGACCTCCTCTTCAGTCAAACTCTCTCTCTCTCTCTCTCTCTCTCTCTCTCTCTCTCTCTCTCTCTCTCTTCAGCATTCCTACTTGAAATGTTTCAGCCTGCTATTTTGTGGGTTCTTCTTTCTATGCCCATCTTGTCATCCTCAGGATTACATCCTGGGCTCCTCAATAACTATGTTTTCTTCATAAATCTTCTCATCCAGTCCTAAACTTCAAGTACTATCTACTTATCTTATCCAAGTGGATGACCCCAAGTCTGTACCTCCAACGCGAATTTTTCTTTTTAATTTCTCACCTAGCCAGTCATCTTTTGTATGTCTCCATTTGAAATCCTTCAGACACCTAAAACTCAGCAGGCTTGTAGCAAAGACCTCAGCATCCATTCCCCCTTCTTTTTAGGGCTATAACTTTCCCTGCACCACTCCCCAACACACACATATGCACTCACATTCCTACCAAGTTTTCTTCCATCTTTTTTTCTGAAGTCAACTTTTAAAGAAGTAATCTCTACACAATAAAATGCACCAAGTGTATAGTTTGATAATTATTAACAAATATGCTCAACTGTGTTATCACCATAATCAAGGCCCTATTGCTATTTCCGACTATATGCATTAGGTTTTTCTACTGCTTCATATCAATGAAAAAATAAGCACATACTCTTTTGTTGGGTGTCTGCTTTCCCTTGGCATAATAGTTTGAGATCTGTAACAGTATTTTGTTTCTCGTTATTGCTGAAGTTTTATGCATTATATAATTATTAATGTATTAATCCATTGTCTCTTGACAGACATTTGTGTTATTTCTAGGCTATTCTGGATGGTATCCATATGTAAAAATTATTTGTATAAAATGCTGCACTTCTCTTCATAAACACCTACATGTAGAATTTACTTTGTACACTGATATTCAAGTTTTTTGTTTGTTTGTTTGTTTAGTTTTAGTCATGTTTTGTTTTCTTTTGGTGGTTTTAGTAATCTTGATGTTGTTGTTACAATTTGGGGAATCAAAGCCAAGACCAAGTCCTTGCACATGCAGATAGCTCCCACTAATCTGTATCTTTCAAGGATAGATACAAATTATCATCTGTTATCTGTATCTCAAATTTGAGATGAATAATCAACGGAGGTCTCCCCATAACTCCTACAACTCCTTCTATATTATCAAATTTAATTTTGTGTTACTTTAATAGAACTTATTTGTGTGTTGGGTAAGGGAAGAAAAGAAGTGGGAGTTAAAATTGAATACAAATGAATTGGTTTTTAAGTGAAAAGAATGTTATAATTTCAAAATTTGCTTTTTTTTCTTTTTTCTTTTTTTCTTTTACCATTTCAAAAGCATATGAATTAGGGTATACTAATAGATGACAAAATGAATTTTCTGAAATCATTACTTTTTTAAAGTATATAATCTTCAGAAGTTTTTCAGCATATTTGAGTGAGAATCATTTGAATGAATGACAGAGAATATAATTTATAGAAGCATATCAGGATTTCATTTTACACAATTAAATAATGTACTATTAGACATATTTTTTGAGAAATGCAGTTTAAAAAGAGTTCGACCTCAAGGAGCAAAGACAGACCTGTCCAGATGTAATAGCAGTGACATAAACCACAATGAGAAGTCTTCCATTTTGTATAACAAGGTCAAACAAATATCCAGGTCATGACTTTCCCATTAGATCTTCGAGTATTCTACTCTGATGGAGTCACAATATCGTGGTGTTTCTCAGCTAAATCTAGTTCAAAGTACTAGCGGGGATAAAAGTCAAGCAGAAGTTTGTCCCAGACTCCAGCTCTCATCCTTTCTAGGAAGCTCCTCTGTTGGTTCGTGCCCCTGTACCTTTTTTTCTCCTTATTCTTTTCCCCTATTTTCTACTTCCCAATGTCCCATCACCAAATTGAGCTCTTCAAACAGTCTAAAATGTCCCAGTCTGTTCACGGGTGTTATCCTTCCCCTGCTTTCTTTTCCAACATTCATAAATAAAATATTTTAATGATCTATCTTCTTCCCAATTCCTCCAATATTCACCAGCCTTCAGCATACTCCCATTTTAATTTTGTCAGTGAAAATAAACACTCACATTCCCTTTTCACAGAAAAGAGAAAACACAGTTACTGGCACTCAGGCAATTTAGAAAGTGACATAAAAGCCTGGCACCTACCTGCCACACCGGCCCACTGTCCAAATGCCACTATTCGTATCCCTCTATGATCCACCATTTTTTCATAATCAATAAGTCGGATTTCCTGAAGAAAGGGTAAAAAATTTCTCAACCAGACCTATTAAGTTCAATTGAAATGAGTAAAGTACATATATGAACAAGTATTCTCCATGTTTCTTCTTTCAAAATATGTCTTGACTTGCTAACCTAAATTTCCATGAAGTGCACCATGAAATATTTAGAAAAGGTTAGATCAAAAAGCTAGCTGTAGGTTTACAATTGGAGATGAAAGAATAGTCCTAGAGGTTGCTAAATGGCCTTGTTGCTGGGCAATGAGATGACCAAAACAGGATTTTCTGTTTTTGACAAACATACAGCCCAATCCAACCAGCACCATCTATAAATAAATTTACAGCCCCAATTCATCCTCCCATTCTTCCTTATGGTCTCAAAGAAAATGAATCCCTCCTGAGACCCATTACTGTGAGCCAATCTCAAGTTTTTTCTGAATCTTCAAAGACCACACTTCTTAAATTATCATTACCTTTTTCCAGCATCATTCCTTTTTATTAGAATGACTGCTCCTCAGTTATTCTAAATACTCCCAGGTCTCTTCTACCTGAAAAGTAATAAGAATGGCCCCTCCCAAGTTCATACACAACTGTGTCTCTCTTCCTTCCTCCCTTTCCTCCTCTCCTCATTCTTTCTTTTTCTACCCTTTTTTACCAGTAAGCTTCATTTAAGAAGTTGAGCATTGTCTCAAAATAAAGTCGTTTTCTTGGGGGTGTGGGGCTGAATGCATGCTGGGGATGGAGTTCAGTGATAGAGCATTTGCCTAGCATGCGCAAAGCCCTAGGTTCAATTTCTGCACCACAATAATGAATTAATTATTAATTAAGTAGTGCATACTGCCTGTATATCTTTTCTCACCTTTTCTAAAAAGCTATTCCTCCGCTTTCCTTGGGATCTTCCAACTCTGTGGAAAAGACTTTTTAATGTATGCTTAAAAGCTATTGATCCATTCTAATCATAGAATGTTTTGAACACTTATTTTATTTTCTCAAACATCAAATGATTTAATAGCTGGAGTTATAGCTCGGTGGCCAAACACAGAGACAAAGCACACTTATCTAGCATGCATAGACCCTGAGTTCCACTCATATCACTGAAAAAAAAACATATAATTTTAATTATGTCTATATATTTAAGAACATTTTACATGCATCCAACTCTAACTGGTTACAAAGGACTGCCAAAAAGTAGCCCTGCTGGTTCTGTTTTTATTATTTTTTTTTTTGTAATGAACAAAAGTCTTATAACAGAAAGTCTCTAAAGTATTTTCTAAAGGTTGATTTGTTTGAAATGGAATATTCATTTTCTAATATGATTTCCATTAATTACTTTTGAATCTGTTCTTCAGAAACATTGCAAATTAACTACAACCCAGGTCTAGTATATTTGAAGTTAATAGGAAATAATTCAATTCTCTTGTATAAAATACATTGTCCCTATTGCTTTTTCTAGTTGTGAGCTCTCCCATCCTCTCCCATCCTCAGAAGTTAGTCTATTTCTAATTCTCTAACATCCTTCCTTTAGCACAGGGACTTTGGATGACTCATTTATTTCCACTCACTCATTATACTCTCCCAACCCCATGATTATAGATACTTTCTGACAACTTCCAAATCTATGTCAGCAGGAGCTGCCCACCTGAGCTCTGGACTGGTGTCCCCAGTCCACTTAACTTGAGGCCCCCAACTCAACTGTTGACCTCTCCATCCATGCCTGCTTTTCTTGCAGTAGCACCATCTCCCTTTATAGAGCCCCTACAAGTTGCACATGCCAAAATCTTAGTCATTCCTGATTCCTCTCCTTTCTCATAGTCCACCTTCATTTCACCAGTGAATTTTGTAGAAATCAGCTTTAAAACACAGGATTGTCCATGTGACAGGACTCTCCATATGTTACAACTGCACTTCCACCACCCAGGTGAAAGGCACCATCATTTGCAGCCTAGTCTAAACTATCACTGATTAACAGGATTCTAATCACTTTGGCTCTCTTCCTCCCACCTGCAACTATTATCACAGAGTAGACAGAAAAAGCATTTTATTACATGACCCACTCTGTCCACTCAAATAGACCCTGGAGCCCTTGCATTACTATTACTACTTGGAAGACTCTTTCCAGAAGGGTATGGCTTAGTCCTTTGCTGCCTTCAAATGTCACCTTCATAATGACGCCCCCCATGACCATCCTGTGTGATCCAGTAGTGTCACCTCCGCCAGGGCCCACATTCCTATTCTCCTTCAGCATTGTTTCTCTCAACACATGTTGACAAGTGACATATAAGATGTCATTTGTCCTCTGTCTCCTTTCACTAGAATGTAAGTATGTAAAGCAGCATGACAGATTCACTAGATGCTAAAGAAAAACAAAGCTCCACTTTGAAGTTAAATTAAAATATTATTTTCCTGTGTTAACACTTATGCATATTGGTCACTAATTACCTGTTTTAGAACCTCATCCAACAAGCTCATATTAGCTTCTTGAGCTTTTATTGTGTGGGAGAAGAATGCATAAGTTTTCTTGGACATTAGCTTATCCTCTGGAGGTCTTTTAACTCCCAAAATTAGACAAGCTTCGGAAATGTCCTCCTGAAGAATACCACCAGCTTTGACGTATTCCTGGAAATGCAATGTTGGTTAAAGATTATTCCTCTGACTTGTGGTAGTCATATTTTCTCTAATAAAAAGTAGAGCAAATAAAAGCACAACTTTTTGAAGCAGTAAAAACTTGTATGGATTAGAACTAATAGGACAGCAACTTTTAATACTTGAACTCTCCAGCTAAAGATAGATCTATTATGTTTAACTGTTATAACAAAAAACAATTAGAAAATTCAGCACATACTGATATTTAAGAACAATTTAGCCGGGTGTGTGACAGTGACTTGGAAGCTGAAGTGGGAGGATGGCAAGTTCAAAATCAGCCTCAGCATCTTAGCAAGACTGGTCTCAAAATAAAAACAAAAAAAAAGGGCTGAGGATGTGTCTCAGTGGTTAAGCACCCCTGGGTGCTTTTCTAAAAAATAAATTTGTTTATTTATTTATTGCAGTACTGGATATCAATCCCAGGCAGAGCCTCAGGCATGCTGGGCAAGTGCTTTTCCACTGAGTCACAATTCCCTGCCCATGATCATGCATTCCTAGGAAAAATCTGATATTTTGTACCTTTAATATGTTACAATGTGTAAAACATGCATTGCTTATATGTATGACACAAGTGGTTAGCCTGAATATAATCATAAGAAACAACCAAACTAGTTCTACCCAGAAGCAGAATATTCTACAAGTCAACTAGCCTGGACTCCTCCAGAAAACAGAAATGAAGGTGCTGTTATAGATCAAAAGAACTAAAGAGACATAGCCATGACATGCAATGACCCTCAATTAATCCTTGAATTAAACTAAAAGGTATTTGAAATGGGGAATCTGAACATCAACTATATGAGGTGTTCTCACGAAATTATTAATTTCTTAGTTATGAAAATTATATACTGGTTATGTAGCAAAATTATTTACTCCTTAGAGGTGCATGCTAAAGCATCATTCAGTACTTGCAAATGATTTAGGAAAGGAATATATATACATATATATATATATTTTTTTGCATATTCCTAAAATGAGAATAAGAATCTAACCCATATTATAATATTATTGTGGAATGTTTATGTCCAGCAGAATTCTGAACATAAAGGGCTTCTCAAAGTGCCTGACAGGATACACTCTTGGGCTGGGGACACAGTCTTGTGATAAAACTCTCCTCAAAGAAGCATTCCCTGGCTTCGAGGATGGTGTCTTAAACAACCTTGGGCTCTCTACTGCAAACTGGAGTTGCACGTGAAGGACAGAAAGAATGAAAACCATCAACACCTAAAAGCAGACCCTTTAACCTTTAGCTGGAGAAAGTATGGAGTAGAGTAAAAATTACATTTTTAAGCAAAAAGAAAAGGAATTAAAGTGACACTAGCACATTTTATTTTTCCTTGGATGCTTCTTATTTTTCATATACAGGTTCATCTCATTTGCACACATTTTAAAAATTGAAAACAGTCACCTTATCATGAATGGCCCTTCGATTGGAAGGCTGTATCAAGACCTTGTAGCCCAGACTGGTGATCCCTTTGATGTGCTTGGGAGCCAGAGGCGCTCTTCTCTCCCAGGCGTTGACATCCTCCCGTCTGAGGGCCATGACAGCTTTGTGGTGAAGGGCTCTGGAGAGGCTGACCCTTAGTGGGGTCAGGTTGCTTCTGTGTATTCGAAGCATCTTGAAACCTGCTGACTGTGAAGGCAACATGAGAAAGCAGAACAACAAAGGACACGAGGGCTTATGGGTCAGTTCTGGTCTCCTTAGAAATCTGCTGAAAAACACAGCCAACCCAAATGAGGATAAAATGTGACAAGAAGAGATGGGGACAAGAAGATAGACAAGAAGGGAGGGGCAACCTCCATGTGAAGTGTACCTTTACCTAAACAGACCCAAATTCCCAAACATCAAGGTACTTAATTCCAAAGTAAGTATAGAGCCACTTAGGTGGCACTGATCAGTAACCAAGTCAACATAGCTTTCTAAATATGTTTTACCAAACATGTACTCAACACAAAAATTGAGTACTACCATGTAAAGCCAGGAAGATGACAGAAAGCAGCTCTTATAGAGTGGTCCAAAGTTTGATGGCATAAAGCTTCAAATTCTGATAATGATATAAGGTTCTTGACAACTTAATGCCAATGTGCCTTCAGCTTCATCTCAGGCCATTTCCTGGACATGCAAAAAAAGTACTTGGTATATTCTGCTAACTTGTGTCGGTCAGTGGACTGTTTTTACTGGTCAGAAATGAGATGCAAGAAGAACTAGAAATTAAGCATTTTATAAGCTGCAATATCACATGATCATTTTCCTAGTTATTCCTTGCTACTGAATTTTACAAAAGTACCATCCTGAACAGGTTGTAAATGCAAAGAAAGCAACCAGCCAACCAAACCAGTTCCTCCACTACCAGGTTAGACTGTCACCCTGCTCCCATCCACCCCCACCTTGGGCTTCCTGCTTCACCCTCACTGTTCCCTCTTGTTGCCCTCAACATAATCCCCTCTCCTGGCTTTTCTCTCCATACCATGTTCTCCAGCCTTTGAATTTAAGCCCAGCCCACCTCACCTTTCCAACTGTCTCCCAGATGGCATAATTCCACTCACTGAAAAAATATCCTATATTTGTGGGCTGGGGATGTGGCTCAAGTAGTATCGCACTCGCTTGGCATGCGCGGGGCACTGGGTTCAATCCTCAGCACCACATAAAAATAAAATAAAGATGTTGTGTCCACCGAAAACTGAAAAATAAATATTTTAAAAAATATTCTCTCTCTCTCTCTCTCTCTCTCTCTCTCAAAACAAAACAAAAATACTCTAGATGTGGGCAGAAAGTTTTTCCCACTGCTGGTGGGACTGTAAATTGGTTCAACCATTCTGGAAAGCAGTATGATTTTCCTCAGAAAACTTGAAATGGAACCACCATTTGACCCAGTAATCCTATTCCTTGGCATATACCCAAAGGACTTAAAATCAGTGTACTATAGTGACACAGCCACACCAATGTTTATAGCAGCTCAATTCACGATAGCTAAGCTATGGAATCAACCTTCAACAGATGAATGGATAAAGAAAATGTGGTACATATACACAATGGAATATTACTGAGCCATAAAGACATATGAAATTATGGCATTTGCTGGTAATTGGTTGGAACTGGAAACTATCATGCTAAGTGAAATAAGCCAATAAAAAAATCAAAGGCCTAATGAAGTTCTCTTTGATAAGCTAACTCATAATAACCTCGGGGAGGGGGGGGGCGATAGAAATTCACTAGGTTAGACAAAAGGGAATGAAGGGAATAGAGGGAGATTGGGAATAGGAAAGACAGCAGAAATTAATAGGACATAACTTTTCTGTGTTCATATATGAATACACACCCAGTGTAACTCCATATCGTGTACAACCACAAGAATGACAAGTTATACTCCATGTATGGATGATGTGTCAAAATACATTCTACTGTCATGTATAACTAAAAAGAACAAATAAAAAATTTAAAAACATCCTATACAGAGTAAATCTGCATCCTATACAGAGTAAATTTTATATAAGATTTTACACATAAATATTTAGATCTAGTAGTGTTTATTCTCTCTGTCCTCAAAGTGTTTCATATATTCTATAGTCAAATGTCATTGCAGATGGTGATTTGCTGGATCATTTAAAGTTTAAAACTGTTTTCTATGTAAGTGGCATATTCTCTAGAAATTCTATACCCATAATTTTACATCTTCTAGAAATGTCCTACCCATTATTGCCAGCACATAGCAAAACTTTTATGAAATATTTTTCCAATACATCAGATTTCAATCTCTAAAAGCACCCATATAGATGAGGAAATTCTGACCAAACACTTAAGCATAGAAGTGCATTCCCTGGGGACAAACAACTGCCTGCTCCCTATAATGGTCAATTTATAGAATATTTCACAACAAAATCAGAGAATAGAACAAAACAGTAAGGAATTCAGCTGAAAAGGCTTTAGAAAGAAAAGGTCAAAATCAGAGAAAGCTGCTGACAGAAAGAAAAATTGTTAATGATTAGTTCAGGCTTCAACTGGACTAAAATGGAGATACCAAAATAGATGATTAACATTTTAACTAAAAACTGTTGCAGACTACATCTAATTTTTGGTTTATTCACATGGTTTTGTTCTTAGGAGAGATGATTATAATCAAACCCAAGCCCATAATATATAGTGTCCCCCAAGTTAAAGGAGAACCTGCAATGTCTCATGGAACCTGAATGCCTTTGTTCCCAAATAAAACCAATTCCAAAGACTGTGAATCTTTTAAACACACACACACACACACACACACACACACACACACACACACACCTTCCCAGCAGGGGCTGTATTTCCTGAACCGACACTGTATCTTCTATTCTGAGTAGCAATTCTTGGCCCTAAATTGACCCCTCCCCCAACACACACACACACACACAGCCCAACCTTGATTTATAACCAGAGCCACACCTCATTCTCTTGACAGCCCCTCCTCCTCCCTTGTCTGGGGTCAGGTTGGAGGCAGCAGGAAGCAGACCACACAGAGAGACAGACACATACATACAATGCATGTGTATTTGCAAAGTGACACTTTCTAAGGGAACTAAATAAAGAAGTGGCAGGGACTGAGCTTCTGGGATTCATTTAGGAAAGTACTTTCACTTTCATTTTTTGTAAGGAATTGTAAAATGATCATTTCTGTGACTTTCACTTCTAAAACAAATATAGCAATAGTTTGCATTAATTATGCTAGGCACTTTAAATACTGTCACATTTCCCTCTTGCAAATATCTTACTAGGTAGATACTATTATTAACCCCATTTTATAGATGAAGAAACTGAAAAGGAGCCCTTCTGGATCAGTTGCTTTTCAACAGAAGCAGGATTTCTAGGTTAGTGCTTAACACCTGGGACACTCTCTTTGCTGAAGCTTACAGAAGCTTACCATGTAGATCTAACATGCTGTTACTCTGGCCAGCTCTTGCTACAAAAAGGGGGAAAAAATCAGATCCATATGGTATGGACTTCACAGTCACAGTAAATTATCAGTTCTCCTCCCAAGCACACAGTGCTTTTCTTGATATCTTTTTTCTCTGTTGCATTGAAATTCTTCCCTGAGTCTCTGCCAAGGTAAATTCCAGATTTCTGGGTGCTTAGAAAAAAGGTTTGATTGTAGCAGGTATTACTGTTCATGATCTCTTGAACCTTGAAACTTGGTCTCAGCAATGAACTTTCCAGTTACCTATGGTCATCAAGAAGTGGGTAACAGGTAACAGTGAGAATGTTGGAGTTGCACAGCAGGTGCCTAGCATTTTGTGGAAATACCCTTGTGGGCTATTCTGGCTTTTCCTGTCCTGGATTTTGTGGTCTTTTTCAAGAATATCAGAAGAGGCTGGGGATGTGGCTCAAGTGGTCGCGCACTTGCCTGGCATGCGTGCAGCCCAGGTTCGATCCTCAGCACCACATACAAAGATGTTGTGTCTGCCGAAAACTAAAAAATAAAAATTATCTCTGTCTCTATCTCTCTCTCTAAAAAAAAAAAAAGAAGAAGAAGAAGAATATCAGGAAATAAGTTCCGCAGAGCTCTCAAGGAAGCAAGTCAGAAAGATTCTGGCTCACCCACTGGCTCTAGTGAGGTTAACTGATAGTGCTAAGTCCTGATTTCAATGTACAGTATGTGTAAGGAGGATGTAGAAAAGTAAGAGGGAGATAGTGTCACATATACAGGAGTAGGGGGAAATCCCTTTTCCTGCGAACTCTGTCTTCCCTTACACATAAAGGTCAAATTTTCAAATATAAAAATAAATGTAAAATATTTCTTCTCTATGTTTTTGTAAAATGGGAACAGCACTGTTTCTTATCTAGTACATTTCTTATCAAGAACTGATCAAGAGTTTGAGATCTCTCTAAAGTCATAGGAATATTACAGAAAACTACACAGAGACACATGCTGAGTCAGGAAAACAATCAGAGGGCAGGTTCTCCCAGCAGGAACAGGACAACTTTCTATATTACACCATCGTAGTGGTCTTTACAATTCTCAAGGAGGAAAGGCTTAGGGGTTTCATTTAATACAGGGCTTAACCTAACTTTGCACACGTGGGAATGGGAAGACACGCTTAAATGTTCTTAGTTCTTAGTATTTTCTTTTCAAGAAAAACAGGGAGGAAAATAATCATTACTGATATAGATACATGACAGACGACAGATAGGAGAGATAGAGGTTAGTACTCTATATATAGCCCATCATTTGCTTTCAGTGACCATTCCCTATTTCCTGGTCCTTGAGTGCATCATTATCCCAAATCATATGGAGAAATCAAAGCACAGTATGTAAAGTGCATTTATAAAAGTGCATATCTCAAGAAAAAACACTTTCAGAACAAAGATGGCTAACAAGGTCCTTTCAGATAGTGAGCAGGTTGGGGCTTTTTGTTTGTTTGTTTTGTTTTGTTTTGCAGTACTGGAGATGGAACCCAGGGGCATTTTATCACTGAGCTATATCCTGAGCCCGTTTTATTTATTTATTTATTTATTTATTTATTTATTTATGTATTTATTTATTTTTGAGATAGCAATTTGCTAAGTTTCTGAGGTTGGCCTCAAATTTGTGATACTTCTGCCTCAGCCTCCTGAATCTCTGGGGTTACCGGCCCTGGCCAGCCTATTGTTTTTTTTTTTTGTTTTTTGTTTTTTTTTTTTAATTTTTAATACTTATTTTTTAGTTATCGGCGGGCACGACATCTTTGTTTGTATGTGGTGCTGAGGATCGAACCCGGGCCGCACGCATGCCAGGCGAGCGCGCTACCGCTTGAGCCACATCCCCAGCCCCAGCCTATTGTTTTTAACAATCCATATAATAATATAAAGTAGGTAGTCACTGATTTTTAGCATGCATATTATCTAATATTTAAATAAAATATAATAAAACCCAGAACATTTTCTTGACAGTGTTAACAAAATGGAATATTTTGCCCATTGATCACAGAAGGCATGCTTTTAGCTTTCCATGACACACAACATATTCTGGAGGTCCTTATAGGGTGTGTAGTAATGATGATAAGTACTTGGTAAAGACATAAAGCAGCAGCAATCCAGGCCCTGCCCATTTTCATAGGGTCTTACAGGAACAGGATGGGGTCATTTTATTTATTTAAATAATGCAAACCAAAACCTGCTGATGAATTATCAACTAATAAATATAACTAAACCTTAAATATTTGAGTGCAAACATACCCAAAAGAAGACAATCTATATTTTTCTCAAGGCCATCAGCTGCTCAGTGTCAGACCAAGACAAAAGACCCATGACTCTCTTGAACTTTCACCCACAAAGTTAGCTTCACTGAGATGGAATACAAAGTTAGCTCTGAATTAGAATCAATCCAAACTACTTACTTACTGCTTGCTCCTCCATCTCTTTGCTAAACTGAAAGTGGGTAGGAATTGATATTTATTCACTTCTGTATTCCCAGTAACTAGCATATAGGAAAACATCAAACATTTTTAGAAAGGATGAATAAATATATTGCACAATAGATAATGCACTATATATTTCCAAAAACTAGGAAAAAAAAGGAGTTTGAATGCTTTCATCATAAAGAAATGATAAATGTTTAAGAAGGTAAATATGATTAAACTGACTTAAACATTGTATAATGTATTCATATAATGAAATAACACATAATATCCCATTAATATATGTTCTATGACCTTATGTATTTAAAAAATAGAAGATCTTATATAATTAAAAAACAAATAATGAAATTTAAATAAATATCATGAAGACCTAGGCAAGAGAGAAAATAAAATAAACACATGAAATTGGGATCCACAACCTCCTTCTCCTACCAAAAACAAAAACAACAAAAAGTCTATTCTTTGCCATAATTTCAGAGACCAATTAATGTTATGAAATGTTCTATGGTAGGGAGGGAAAGTCCAGTTCTAGGAGTTCAAACATGTAACTAGCCTTCTGTGCCTCCTCTTGACTTCAGTCTCCTCATCTAGACTAGAACACAATACTTGAGATCCCTTTCCTCTTTAACATTCTTATTCCATTAAGCTTAGTATTAATCCAGCACTGTGGATTGCAAACATTAGAATTATGAATACATTAGAATTTTAGAACATAAATAAGTTTTCTGTCTATGAACATACACTAAATAGGAAAACAAAACACTAAAAACATTATGGAAGAAAAATAGACATTTGCCTAAGCTACCTGCACTGTCTACAGCAGCCAGGAGCCAGAGCTTATAACAGGAACTGTATATAGCAAAGGAATACCAGTGACCTGGTTCTGCAGTACCTAAACTTGTTCTGGGAACTCATTCCAAAACAACCTGTCTGAGCCTCATCTGCAAATGGAAGTCACATTAACATCTTCCTCTCAAGGCTGCTGTTAAGTTTAATTGAGCTAATGTGCATAAAGTGCTGAGCATGATTTTACATGCCATAAACACTCAAAAAAAAAAAAAAAAATTAAAAAAACCAAAAAACACCAAACCTGCTCATTGCTCAAATGTGAGCACAACCTCACCACCAGCAGAAGATATTATCTTCTCCTATTCTGTCACCTGTGGTAATTAATTTACTCACTCCCTTAAGTTTTTCTGGGAGAGGGGGGTAAAAAAAAAAGAAAAAAGAAAAAAACTGGAGCCGGATAAGCCTACTCTTCAACTTCACCCTTTAGGCTTGGATATTCAAGATAAATTAATTACCTTGTAATATTGTATTTAATAAAATGTTTAAGACCCATATTTTCATATTATAGCATCTTTGAAACAGGAATGCATCTTACAATTGATGGCATTTTAGATTCAATGAATACAGTAAACTATGCTCTTGGTTAGTTCCCATGCCAAATATATAGTGTTTCTACGATGATATGAATCACAAAGAATTTTTTGGTGGCTTCACCTAGGAAATTTACTACTGTTTGTGATGTTGTGTCTATGAGACATTTAATAAAAGAAATTTTGGAAAAATAAAATCTTTTTGTTAAGTGAAAATGAAAGTTCAAAATTACTTTGATAATCCTGACCCAAGGTCTTTTAACACTTAAAAGACACCAGAAAAATAATTCAATTGCAAATAGATCAAATTAAAGTGAAGTTCTGAATAACAAATGAGATTGATAAGAAATTTGACTTTCTAGAAGAGTGGGGAAATAACCCCATAAATCACCTGCAACCTTTGTCCTCCTAAGTCACTTTGCAAAATGGTAAGCACATTATATAGCCCTAAACTCATTTAGTCCTGAAATCATTTAAGATGGCTCATCTTCATGGTAAAAAGGAGGATGTTAGTGTAGGTAACAAAATAGGCAAGCCAAGACATATTTAAGTGCCACCTGTGTTTTATATTCTTTTTCTTTGTTAACAAAGTACTGAAAAGTCACTGCTCAAATCAACAGCTTACATGGGGCATCATCACAGATACATCTTCCTTACATTCCAGTAACTAATGACCCACAATATCAAAACATGTTGCTCCTTGCTGGACTCAAGGGCTTATGCTGGTAGTCTCAGGTACTCTGAAGTATAAGGCCGGGAAATCCTAAATTCGAGACCAGCCTAAATGTGAGATTCTCCCTCAAAGTAAAAAAATAAAAATAAAAATAAAAAGGTCTGGGGATGTAGCTCAGTAGTAGAGCGCCCCTGGGCTCAATCCCCAGTACCCTAACAAAAAGAGGGGAAAATAAAGTTAATCTTTGTTCTGTTACTGAACTAATTATTTTTTTTTCCTTCTCTCCTTCCCCACCCCTCTTCTTTCTCTCCCTCCTCCTTTCCCTCCCTCCCTATTCCCTACCCCGCTCCCCGCCCCCATATCAATGCCTGAAAAGCACATCTTTGTTTTTGAGAAGTAGTCAGAACCATCAAACCCAATCAAGGTCCTTCTGGATCCCCCTCCCTGGGCAAGTGATCACACACTGGCCTGCACAGTGTCTCAAGCGCTCAGGAGACCTAACATCCAGAGTGCCTCGCTGTCTCACCCCCGTTATCTTTCCGAGTGTACGGAAAAGGCGCTGAAGCACAGCGGGATCTCGATCTTGGAGAGAAAGACCAGCCCTAGTCCTAGGGCGTGAGAAGTTTACCATCCCAGTGGGTAAACAGACTGCAGTGGTGACGACTCCGCGATCATCCCCAAAGAAGCGTTCAGTGCAAGAATTAACAAGGTGTTCGTTTCGCAACTTCAACTTCAACCAATTCTTTATTTCCCAGCAATATAGCACCATCACCACTCGCCAAAAAAAAAAGGAAAGGAAAAAAAAAAAAATGCGAATCGCCCTTCTTCCCCCTTCCTATTCAGAAATCCCGGAGCCGAGGGTACGGACTTCCCTCCGGAGCAGGGAAATGGTCCAAGACAAGACTTGGCAGGGAGTCCTCAAATGCTCGCTACCCTCTCTCCCTGGCTTCCCCCGGCCACCGCTGAGCCCTCCCGGTCGCCCCTGGGCTCTGGGACCAGGAGGTCCAGCTCCCGGGAGACTCGGGCGAACAGCTGGAATCGCTCCGGCGATCTCAAAACGCATCTGGCCGACTGACCTCCCTCTCCCCACACACGCACCCACCCATCAGCTTATCCTTCCCCTGGTCCCCTCCTCACCCCGTCCGCTCTGGGACGCCAACCGGTCCCCTGCAGTCCTGAGCTCCCAAGTCGGGACAGAATCGGCAGCGAGTTCCCAGCAGAAATTGGGCTGGGGGGCTGGGAAGGAGGAGGTGTTTGCTTAACTTTGGAAGACGTCACGCCTCTTCTTCCTGCAGCCAATCAGAGTCCGCCCTGAGGGAACAACCTCCTCCTCCACCAATCGGCGACGCTGCCAGGTACTAGGTCATGCCCTGCCCCTACTCCTCCCCAAAAGTCCATCTCTGACCTGCGTGCGTAGCTGCGGGGATCTCATCATCCCTGGGCGGTCACTGACCAGGTTTGTAACTGCAGGTGAAAGGAGGCAAGCGGGCACAGAGAAAGACGAAAATAGTCTGGCATTACCCGCGAAATAGATGTGCACAGCTCCTGGAAAAAAGTGGCCCGCGAGTATGCCTTCCGATATACACTCTTCAAGGATTTTTCCGGCCTGCAACAAGTCTATAAAGCCAGATGACAGTTCTTAGAACAATTTTGGAATCCAAATAGCAGAAATTCAATGTGGTGAACCCCCACTCAATCAATAGAAATTTGTGTATGGAAAAGTTCAGTGCTCTTGAAAATCCTGGCAGGTTTTTTTAATTATTATTATTATTATTATTATTATTATTATTATTATTATTATATTTCCCAAGACTAGTCCCAGCACTAGGGAAGAACCACCTGAAGTCCAGTCGTTGTTCCCCAAGGAGAAAATAGCCATCATCCCTCCTGTTTTTACAACTTTCTCCACTACTTACTCTTTTCTATGCCTGCAACAGATGAGTTTAGCTACATCTATCCTAGAACATTCTTGGAACGCCACTGCTATCTTTCATTCGCTTCTCTTCCAAAGACATGAAGTTGGAATGTTCCTCTGTGTCTTTAGTTTCACACATCCAAAATCAATTCCTAATCCATCTCCTGAAGTCTTCCCACTTTTATGGGTACAGGGAGAATTCAGGCAGGTCCTAAGCACACAGAGTTACCAGGTAGGGTGGCATTACATGCCCACCCTCAAATGCCTCCTGTTGACCCTCCACTGCCTGTGAATCATTGCACCTAATAAAGTTATTGTCAAGTCCCTTTTTGGTTACTTTGTATCTCAGAAATTTTCTTTAAAAAAAATATGTGCATTAGAAATACCATTCTTTAAAATAGGAGATTTTGAGTATTTTCCTCAGTGATATTTGCTATAGCAGGTGATGGTCTCAGAAATTTCTTTGCAATAAAAAGAAACAATGGAGGAGAGGAAAAAAAAAACAGACCTTGAATATATCCCAACTCAGCTTGTATTATCAACTCCTCAAACTCCTTCAATATGAAACGCCTGCTACCCAAATGGGGGCTGACTCAATGTTCCTGGAATTGGAAGGTGGATTCTAGGCCATTCAAACTGATTTTCTTTCTCTTTAACCACTTTGCTTTCCCTCTTCTTTTATTGTTCCTTGCTTTTCTTCTCTCTGAGAGGTCTTGAAGGTACTTAAGCATGGAGTAAATGGAACCTAGACTTAATCCCCTCCTTTGTAACTCACTAGTAAGTCACTTAGCCTCTTTAAACCTAATTTTCCTTTATCAGTACAGTGCAGAACGTCACAGGGTTGTCAAGATTAAATGATGCATGATCTCAGTATATGAAAGCTAATGTTGAGGCATTTGTTTAGTCAACTTTTCGTCACTGTAATACATACCTGAGAAAAACAATTGAGAGAAGGAAAGATTTATTTTGGCTCACAGTTTTGGGGGAGTCAGTTCATGGCTGACTGGTTCCTTTGGGCCTCACTTAAAGCAGGGCACAGGAAGGAAAGCTGCTCAGCTTGTGGCAACTAGGAAGCAGAGTGAGAGGAGGAAGTGTCCAAGGACAAGATACACTATTCCAGGGCATGCCCCCAATGAACAACTTTCTTCATCCTTGCTCCCCAACCCACAGTTTCCAACACCTCCAAGTAGTCCATTCAGCTATCAATGGATTAATGAGGTTGGAGCCCTCATGTATCCAATCACTTCCCAAAAGCCCCATCTCTGAACATTGCTGCACTGTGGAATAAGTCTTTGTCACATGACTCTGGAGGAGCACTTCATATCCAAACCATAGCAGGTTTACTATTTTTTCCTGTCTCATCCTCCCCTCACCTTTCATTGCACTCACAACCAGTCTCGTTCTTAAACAACTTTGTCATAAAGAGAAAAGACATGGGCATTCAGGAGAAGGAGATAATAGACAGGAATTTGATATTTCCCAGATATTTCTATTTATTTCTCAAAACTTTTTACTTATATGAACAGCAATTTTTATAACATCATCTCTTGTCCACCCACAATAGAAAATTATTCCACTTTTTATAAAAAGAACTTTCTCTGGACTACAGGTGCAAATTCAAGTGATTTTTTTTTTCAAAAATAAGTAGTTTAGGTAAGAGTAGTTTTAAAAGACAACTACTATTGTTGTTCTAATTCCCAAGTTCTGTTGGGAATGAAGCCTACTTTTTCACCCTTCAAGGAATTTGAAACTCCATTTAGGTGAGGCAAGAGCAGAACTACCCTCTGTTAAATCTAAATTAGAACTCCTGTACCAAGGTTGTGGGTGGAGATACTGATATCCTGAGAGATTATTCTACCACCACCACCACTTCACTACCCAATACCCTCAGATGAAAGAAGCATTGAATATTAATTTCTAATTCACCTTCTCTGCCTGGAAAATAATGAAAGAAATTTCCAACTTCATTTGAATTTCCAGAGTCAGTTTTTATTGTCTCCAGGACTCATGGCTTCAGTTGAGAGTTCCCTGTGCAGGGCAATTCACTCAACGAACTTTCTTCTCATCAACATTTGCTTAGTAACTGCTTTTATAAGTCTACAAGGACATATAAATTTTCAGCTATATGTCACTATACTTAATGGGTTACATAAAAATTACATGCTGTAGTAATATAAGCCAATTTTTGTTAAAATCTCAGTAACACATGATGGGTCTAATGTCTCAAATCAAGGAAGAAAACCAGTGTTCCTCCCCCAGTCTGTCCTGATAGAAGAGAAGATGTGTAAACTTATGTAAACCTTTGGAGATTAAGTTGGGAATAGCTAAACTGCCAGGTTGAAGATATAAGAAGAGTCAGAACTTTGTCCTTCTAGTCCATGTCTGGATAAACTAAATGAAATCAACTCCTTACAATAGTTTATCTCTCTGTTAAGATGGGAAGGAAAAACAAATTTAATTTTTTTTTTCAGTGTAAGAAGTAGCAGCTTAGGAAAATAATCACAACTAAGGCAAGTTCACAACAGAAAGCTTAAGGTAGAGAGAGTATTCAAGACATTAAACTGACTCTTATGATACTTGCAGTCTGTATAGACCCTCAGAAACAGATGTAATTGAATTTGAAAGGGACAGAAAAAGAACAGCAAGTGAGGATGCTCCTGCCAGATGGTATTATGTTGGCACTCCTAGGGGCAGACATAGGCATTTCTGTGCTATAATTTCCACATATATCTAATAAGGAAAGGTCTTATATTTATAATACATATAGAAATTTTGTATATCAATCATAAAAAATGAGATAGGCAAAAGGTTTGAATTGACCATTCTCTAAAGAAGAAATACAAGTGGTCATTAAGAGCATGAAAATGAATGTAATATTATTATCCATTAGAGAATTACAAATCAAAACTACAATGAGATATCATCTCATACTCACTAGAATGGTAATAATAATAATAATAATAATAATAATAATAATAATACAACTATTGGTGAAGATGTTGAGAATTTGGAACCCTCATGTGTTGCAGGTAGAAAAGTAAAATGCATTCCCTTTGGAAAAAAAGACTAGCATTTCTCAGATGCTTAAACAGAGTTATCATACAATTCAATAGTTCAGCTCCTAGCTAGGTACCCAAGAGAAATGCAAAATGCATGTTTGCCGAAAAAGAAACATTGCACACAAACATTCATAACAAAATATCCTAATATCCAAAATATCCTAATTCCAAAAGTGGAAACAATGTCAATGTCTGTCAACTTATAAGCAGACAAACAAAATGTTCATAAAAATGGAATATTTTTCAACAATATAAATAAATGAAGTACCGACACATGCTACAACATGAATGAACATGAAAATATTATACTAAGTGAAATGAAGCATACAAAAAAACCTATGATATATTGTATTGTTTAACTTATATAAAATGCACAGAATGAGTGAATTTATACATAAAAAAGTAGATCAAAATTTGTCAAATGATGGGAGAAATGAGGGAATTGACAGATGATAGCAAAGAGGTACAGAGTTTCTTTTTGTGTTGATGAAAATATTCTAAAGTTTGTTGTGGTGATGGTTAGACAAATCTGTGAATGTAATAGAAGCTGTTAAAATGTATACTTTAAATAAACTCATTGCATAGTGTATGAATGAGGTCTCATTTTAGCTGTTTAAAAACCAACAGACAAAACAATGATCCAGATTTAATTCCAGCAATAGCTAGAATTTGGCATGTACTGCCTGAGTGTGCAGCAGAATCTCTAAGAGGTAGATCTAGGGGAGGGCACAAGGATTTACATTTCTAACATTTTCCCCAGGTAAAGCTATGCTACCAGTAAGGCCTCATAGCCTGAGAATCAATAATCTAAAAGTGTAGCAGAATGATTGAATTAATAAAGTGTAACAAAATTGCTGGAAAACTTTATGGGAGCTGGCAGGTCAGCACACCACATCTATAATCCCACACTTATAATACTGTGGAGGCTAAGGCAGGAGGATTGCAAGTTTAAGGCAAGCCTCAGCAACTTAGTGAGACCTTATCTCAAAATATAAAGGACTGAGTGTAGCTCAGTACTAAAGGACTCCTGGGTTAAATTTGCAATACCACACACACACAGAGAGAGAGAGAGAGAGAGAGAGAGAGAGAGAGAGAGAGAGAGAGAAATCAAGGAAGCAAGCAAGTTTCCTGAGGCCCAGTGTAGGTACTGGTAAGATATTAAGTTTAGACCAGTCATGACAGTGTGCTTTTTTCC